TGATTGATTGATTGATTGATTGTATAATTAGAATAAAAAAAATTCAACTAGCCTGCCCAATGTGCTCGAAGTTTTTTCTGTTGATGAAATTTGATATTATTTGTTAAAAATTGTTTATTGATAATAATTTGTAAACTACTACTACTACTACTACTACTATACTATTATTACTACTACTGCTGCTGCCGCTATGACTGCTACTACGGTTACCACAACTACTACTTATTCTAAAGTTATGACGATGGAAACAATATTGATATTATTTAAAGCATTTTGAAAAGCTTTCTTTCCTTCTCTGTCTCTCTCTCTCTCTCTCTCTTTGTCTTTCTATATCTCTCTCTCTCTTTCTCTCTCTATCTATCTCTCTCTCTCTCTCTCTCTCTACTTCTCTCTTTCCTAAATAAAAAATATATAAGGGAGGAAGTAATAAAGATAGAAGATATCAACTGAGACGAACCTTGGTTCGGTGAATGGAAATGAATTAGGATATCTTCCACAAGAGACGCTGTCGGTGCAGAAGGCGTGCTTCGAAACTCTCGGCCAGATTTTCTCGTTCAGGAAGTCCATATCACTCATGTAAGATGACGACGCGTTTTGAGTTTCTCTGAGCCAAGAACTGATTTTAAAAATCACATTCGTAAAGTTTATACTGAAGAGAGATAATTTGATAATTCAAGATAATATTTGTTAAACAGGATTTTAACAATACTTCAAACATATAAATAAAAAAAATAACCGATTAAATCATTAAAAACAGTTTACAAAACAAAGTTGTTCAATAGGTATTAATTAGGTATTAATTAACATACCATTAAAGCACCTCATAAATTAAAAAAACGTCTACCTACAAAATTGTCACAAATATTAAGACAGAACGACCAACACATTCAAAATTTCTCGAAGTATTTTGGATCTTGCGCCCCAAAGACCTCCGGATATTGCGTACATTGCATGGCTCGGGTGATCCCTGACGCAGTGGAATGCTTGCCTGGAAGCCATCCACACCTGAACACCTTTGTAATCCCGCTCCGTCAGTCTGGAGTCTGAATCTCGAATGATGAAGCGATCGACTGTGGGGTCGTCTGCTACTAAGAATCTGATGACGTGTGTGGTTATATTTTTTGCGTTTGCGTGATCGTGCGTGCGTGTGTGTGTTTGTTTGTGTGCGCGCGTGTGTGTGTTTTATAGATTCTTCATGTTTTATGACTGATATGTATGCTGGAGTGTTTTTTTAAGTTGTAGTTTACTAATGCAATTAACTATTTCATTAATAAATTGCGCATAAATTATTTTCCACTTTTCAACTTTTCACTTTTCATGTCTGATGATATTTCATTACCGAAAATATGAATAGGAACCAAATGTAGAAAATAATTTTGATTTTTTCCTAAATTATTATTTATAAAAAGTATTTTGAATTTTTCCTCCGTTGTTCAACAGTTTTATGACTGTGCACTGTACATGGGCGAGAATTATAATCAATCTTACCCTAATACATAGTCCTCAAATTTGTTAACGTTCATTTAAATGATTGTTAGTTAATACGAGGCAATGGATTTAAAAATGACAAGCCTCCTTAAAAAATCGTTTGTTTATTTTCCCGCAAAGATACACCGCAATAAATATCTTCTACATTATACATATTTCAATCTATTTTACTCTACTCTCTCCACTCTCTCTCTCTCTTTCTCTCCCTTTCTTCCTCTTTCTCTCCTAATCATATGGCATCAACAGACAGTCGAAACGATATACATTACTTATATATTATTTCTTTACAACATAATTAACAATTGAAGTTTTGTGTCGCACGCATAGGCGTACAAGCACGCCACACGACGTACAACCACACCACTTGACGTACAAGCACACCACACGACCCACAACCAAACCACAACTGCGCTTGCGAGCACCGCACCATACTTTCGAGAAATATTTTGAACTTTTCTTGTTCATAATTTGAAATTTTGAAATTTTTTGAAATTGAAATTTTGAAAAAACTTTGAAATTTTTTGAAAGTACTGATTTAATATTTGACATCCATTTTAATATATTTATTAATTGTTCATTTTGTTAATGAGGCACTTTAAAAACATGTTTATAAAATGAAAATGTGAACAACGCATGAAGTCAGCACAAGAGAACCTGGCACCAACCTCCACATCATCGGTGGCACGGAGAGTTCGTCGTTCTCCACGCGGTGAACATCAACACCAAGGCCTTCCAATTCCTTCAGAACATTGGATGGAACAGCTTCATACTTGGAGGAGTTTGACGAGTCCACGTAAACCCGTAAGGTCCAGCCGGGGAAATTCTTTTTGACCAACTCTGCATTCTTCAATGCTCCTCCTACATACCTCGGCTGGCTACCGTACAGTGACATTGAAACAACTTTTACCTCATTAGCTTCTTTCAGCGGTTTAGTAAATAAAATCCTAGCATCTGACGTCACTTGCCGACAGTTGCTTTCTATCGCAACTCTGTATAAGATCAAAATGAACATTACAGCTACGAAACAAACGATCAGTGCTATCCGTTGGAAGCATTTAAAGGGCATTCTGATGCTTTTAATTTTTAAATTTAAATTGTTCTGTCTACGTTTATATATATATATATATATATATATATATATATATATATATATATATATATATATATATATATAAACGTAAATCTTTTGTTCATTTTGTTAATGAGGCACTTTAAAAACATGTTTATAAAATGAAAATGTGAACAACGCATGAAGTCAGCATACTTGGAGATAACAAACGCTGAGATGCACATCACTTTATATATATATATATATATATATATATATATATATATATATATATATATCGCATTTATAAAACAGATTAGATTAAACATCATCTACTACTAACTATCCTATATAAAGCAGGTTTTGCATTTGCATTGTTTTATTATGAAGAGGGAAAGAGATAGATAGATAGAGATAGAGAGAGAGAGAGAGAGAGAGAGAGAGAGAGAGAGAGATGTTGCTAGTTTCTTTGAAAAAAATCAGGAAATTGAACTGAATAAATGAATAGCACAGTCATTCTTGATGACATGCGCAGGTTTGCAGGGACTGTAAGAACGACGATTCTGTAAGGCCTGGTCAGATGATATTTGGTCAGTATTACATCTATGTATTATTAATGCACAATAACCAGAGGTTTTTATCAAAATTAAAAAAAAATTTGTGTAATGAGCCAAAAGGGTTGCCGGTTTCTGATTATTTGCGGTATTTATTCCGATGCCCCTTAAACACGGAGACCTATGTCAAATGACCTCTTCTCTTCAAAAGCATGCATGCACATGTTTAACAAGCTTGTGTAATTAATAGTAGGCCTATATAGTGAAGGTAATGGTTTTTGTTAAAAGTCTATTACACCCTTCGTAGAGTCAGAAGAATAAAAAAAATACACAAACAGATCACATGGGCGTGCTTAAGGACGCATCACACACAACTCATGAGGTAGGCCTGGGTCTTTTGTCATATTAGAACCCGGCCACTGGTTAACAGGACTAGGCTTCAATACGTCTGAATGAATCAAAAATGTTAAGTTAAATGTGAGAGCTAATATGAAAGAAATTTGTTATAGTTTTTTAAGTAGTACTTTTTGTTTTATAGTCTGTATTACAAATAAGCATTGCAAAATATGACACAAGACAAACTTGAAAATAACAATTAAACTAATAAAATTCTAATTTAAATGAAGATTAATAAAGATATAATAGAAGTTTTGTTTATTCTATGGTACAGGGTATCATGGTATATGGTTCATTTAAATCATTTCTTTCGTTATGGGTAGGTGTGCTTGATTAAGATTATTTATTATCAGTATTGTTTTAGTAAATGTATGCATGTATTATACAAGTGTGTGTGGATGTTATTTGTGTATGATAGTATGCATCTTTATTTTATTTAGAAGTATATAAGTGAGTGTGTGTGTGTTTATTTCGGTTTTTGAAAAGTCATCATATATGTGCCAATTAGTATGACCAATATTCAAAAAAAGTAAAAGTTAATTTTCGTCTAAGTGGTTTTTTTCTAAATTTTAAATTAAAATTTATCTTCTTTCTCGTAATCTTAATTTCTAATTTGGTTTAAAGATGTTATCTTCAATGGTCAAGGAGCATCAAGCTAAGCAAGCACAGAATAGGGAATTGCAAGGTTTTGTGTTTAACTGTTTAGTCTTGTGTCTACCTCTACATCTACTAAATAACAGTTATTTAATAAATAACTATACATACACATATTTCCTGGTTTTTAAATTTTTTGTAAATTTTATTTTATTTAATAGTCTAGTAAGTAGAGTTTGCTGTCTGAGTTTAAAGTTTGACTGAGTGGTTTAGTTAATTTAATTTAGCCATTTTTGTAAATTTTTACAATTTTTTACTAATAAAAATGAGATTTTTTTAGAGTTTGAAATGCAGAATCTACATCTTATCTTATGTTAAAATTTTTAAAGAAAAACGAAGGTTAGAAGCTACTGTGGCTACAACTAAATTTGCTAATGCTCTGGTTGACAGTCTGAACAAGGGGTTTGTTGTTGTTTGTTTGTTGTTTGTCCATTTTATGTAGTTAATTAAGTAGTTAGCATAATATGGTATTATATATTTTATATGGCATATGGATGCTGTATGTTTATTTACTAATTCATTTCATTATCTAATTCTAATATAAATCTAATAAATTTCCTACTTCAACTTAGTGTAGGCCAGGCTTATGTCAATCAAAAGAAATTGGACACTGAAACAAAAATTCTACACGCAAATGTCATGCAACTCACAAAGCAGACCAACCTATGGCTTAAACTTATTAATGATTTCAATCAAGCTGTCAAAGTGATGATCTGCTATCTATTATTATCATCATCATTATTGTTACTATCATTGTACATAATTGTTACTACTGCTAATAATTGCTAATATTACTACTATTTTTATTATCACAGATGTAACTAAATATCACTAGATTTCATGCCAGTTAAATCATTTTTTAATCATTCATTTGATAAATTGAATGAATTATGACCAACATTATTACACTCATATTATTTTTTGTATGTATTATTATATTTTAATTAGTTTTTAATATAATTTATTTATATTATTTTACACTCCAAAATACGTTCTATTCATTTTTTAGGAAATAGGTGATGTGGAAAACTGGTCAAGAAGTATTGAAGCCGATATGAGGACAATCTCAAGTGCATTGGAGTATGTTTATAAAAGTAATAAAGTTTACTTTTACACACGCACACACACACACACGCACACACACAGACAAACTGACACGCACTCACATACACAAATACACATATACTCTTGATATATTTAGAAAAAAAAGAATAAACGCTTCCAAATTCTCTTAAAATTAATTTTATTTCACAAATCTTTATTTAAATTATCAAATATGAAAAGAAGAAATGACAAAACAAACGCAAGATATTTCGGTTGGAATCAATGAAAATTAAATCATATAAATGCAAAACTTAAATGGAAAATAAAACAAAACCTTTTTTCAAAAATTGATGAGTAAAAAAAAATAAAATAAAACTGTTTCTGGTTTAGTTTTTCAATACTTTGTTCTGTCTTTTTATCATTGTATTTTAACTTATTTATAGAGAAAACAAAGTTATGTGTGTGTGATGATGGCGTAACTGATGATGTCAAATTTTAATTTAAATAGGCCAAGACACGTGATGACGACGACAATGACGTCATAGTTATGGAAACGCCAACGATTCCAGTCACCTCATCACATCTAATCGATAAAACTTTAAGCAAAGAACACCTACTCATTCACTAACACTTTAAAGACGATGATGGTAATATTAATTATGGTAATAATGATAATAATTAATATTAATGTTAACTCACAATGATGGCTTAAATAGTTTACATTTCTTGCTGCATGAAAATATCTGCAACTGTTAGTGTGTATGCATGAACGAACGTGTTCACACACACCCATACACACACACACACACACACACACACACACACACACACACACACACACACATATATATATATATATATATATATATATATATATATATATATATATATATATATATATATGCCATTAAAACATTGAATGTATTTATATATATTTTTTTGAATTGAAACAATCTTTTATTTATATAAATTATATTGTATATTATTTATTGATATAATATATATTAGTGTATATCTGTAAGTGTGTGTTTGCTTCTGTGTGTGTGTGTGTGTGTGTGTGTGTGGTGTGTGTGTGTGTGGTGTGTGTCGCGCACCCAGACATTGTATTGCACAGTCTTCTTTTTTTCTCAAGCTTATTGTACAACTATATAAATCAGATTTAACGAAATCTTTTTTTTCAATTGGTATTGATTCAAAAAAGATTGAAAAAACGCCTTGACATATATATATATATATATATATATATATATATATATATATATAATGTGTGTGTGTGTGTGTGTCTGTGTGTGTTAACTTCCTACCTTAAAAATAACATCAAGAACGTAAACACACAGACACACGCACTGATACTATTATAAATTATATGAACTTATGTTTACTGAGTTATAAGTTAAATACATTTGAGTATATATGCATGTAGAAAGTTGTACTAATATATATACACCCTATAAAAAAAATACACATAAAAAATACAATAAATTACAGTCATACATTAAAATACTTGAATATTACAACGAGTAAAAACGTATTCATTCATTTATATTAATTAATTAATTAATTGATGATCACATAATGATCAATTAACCGAGAATCTAGTCGCTAACAAATGTTTTTGTAACATTATTATGACAGTATTTATATTATGTATATATATATATATATATATATATATATATATATATATATATATATATATATATATATGAAAATATATATCTGTGTGTGTGTGTGTATTTATGTGTATGTGAACAAACATGAAAAGTGATTTATACATATGTGTTAGTTACACCGATGTTTCTCAAAGTGGGCAATGGATGAAATAAGTTTGAGGACCACTGTGTTATGCAAACGCGCTAATGGTGGTTAGCATAAGTTAGCGAACATGGCTGGCATTTCATTCGGTTTAGTGATTTCTGACAACTTTCATAATTATTTTGAAAGAAAAAACTTAATTAATTTACCGAACAACGTCGAATTTTGTGCCGTCAAAAAATAATGACAAATTAACAAAAAAAAAAAAAAAAACGAAATGAAAACGAAGTAAAATTGTAAAAATAAAAATGGCAAACTCGAAAGGTGGAGGTGGTGAAAGGTTTTTACAAAATTCCAAAAAAAGATCCTTAATAAATAAATACAAACTCAGTCTAACAAACATAGAAACGTTAATATGAGTAACAATACAACGACTATAGAACTACACAACACACACACACACACACACACACACACAAAATAATAAGTAAAAGAAGAGCAACGGTAATAGTAACAACATTAATAATGAAAATGTTATTGGTAATAATGATAACCTCAACAGTTGTTTGGAGTACAACTATAGATTCCAACTACACAACATACACGCACACACACACACACGCACAAATACACACACACACACAAACATACATAACGAGCTAAAACATGATGTTAATTTGTTAATTTAATAAAAAAAATTATATAAAAATGCAATCGAACCAAAAATAATTAAAAGTATAAAATGAAAAATACGCGAAAATTGTATAATGCGTATAATTAACATGATTATGGAAATTAATTCTTTGAGAAAAATAAAAATAAATTTATTAATTGATGGATTGATTGGAAAAATAAATTAACAAAATTGAATTTGAGATGTCCTTTGTAGAAATTTAAGTACCGTGCAGTGTGGTTATGTAGACAATGAGAAGATGACATACATTTAGTTTACGTGCTATCATCATTATAATTATTATTATTACTTACAACGGAGATATTACATATATTTAGTTTACGTGCTATCATCATTATAATTATTATTATTACTTACAACGGAGATCTTTTATTATCACCATCATCTTCATCATCGTTTGGGTAAGTAAGTTTTTTTGACGTTCTCGTTGTTTTTATTGACATGCTCTATGATTGGTAAGTTAGTCGATTGCACTGTTAATTTGATTGGTTGGTGGATTAATTGGTTGATAGGTTGGTTAGTTTGAATGATAGATCGGTTGATTTTATTCATTCATTCATTCGTTCATTCGTTCGTTCGTTAAATCGTTAGTGTAGTGTAGTTGTGTGGTCTTGTATGTAGGTAGTTGTTTCAATCCAACTGACCACATCACGTTTTTCCTTTAACTTCTTCGATCATTATCTGGCAAAGATTATATTTCAAATTTCATGCATAGCTATCACAAAAAAATGCTACAACATTACATTAGATATTTATGACAATTAAACGCATGTGTTAATAAGAAAGTAATCGTTATTTCGAATAAAAATTTCACACATGTGCTCTACAAATCATTTCAGATATTTTCATGCAATCACATTGGTTGTACCAAGCTACATTAAATAACTGAAAATGTTTGTTGGCATAGAAATTTAAACGTACAGGCATAGATATCAACTCTCAGATTGAAAATCTTCTCTAACCTCACTCAGAATGACCCAGGTTTCAGAGGGACTATTGACCTTTAACCTGACCGCCTTAATAGGGCAGAGATTCGCCGGTACAGAACCCTGAGCCAGTCCACTGACGTTATCGAACTTACCGACTTCTACGTAATCGTCGTCGTCGGTTTTCGGCATGGGAGAATTCGTTCGTCGCTGCTGCTTCGGATGGTCGGTTGTTGTTTTGTTGCTGGTCTCTGTCGCCTGGAGTACTTCAACTGACGTGTTGTAGAACTTGTCGCCCGGATGCTCCACGTCCCCGCTCCTGAATAAATATCTGAAGGCAGCAGGGAGAGGTGGCTGTGATGGAGTCGAGACGATGATGATGAAGAAGATGATGATGTTGAGGTGGTGATGGTGGGTTAACGAAGGAAGAGTAGAATGATTAATTTATTATTTCCAACTAAATGTGAGTAACATTAACTTAATTTCTAAAAAACAAGATAACAAATAAAATCAGCTAACCAATTAACCAACCAGTCAGACAGCCAATCAGCCACCCAACTAACTTTCCAACACAGATAGGTTCATCAAAGAGGAAGAGCACGAAATCATCCTTCTCAGGTGACTGGCCCCAGAAAAAGGTACTGCCAGCGTAGGCCATGTTGATCAGATAGGTCTTGTATGATCTAATGGAGGTCGTGATCTCGGCAGACGGGTTGGTGTGCACTTTAAATAGCATATCTTTCTTGAAATCTTTGTCCTGCGCGTGTTTGTGTGTGCGCGTGTGTCAAATATGTAGTTTATATGTGTGTGCGTATGTAGTGTATCTCTAAGGTATGTTGTGTGTGTGTGTGTAAAATATGAATTAAACCTTTAGTACCTTAAGTTTTTGAAGTTTTCCCTTGAGAGATGAGTAAGTGCCAACATGTTGAAAGAGGGAAGGTTTGTATCTTCTGCGTAATGACTCCATTGATTGGAAGCAATGTTTCTGTTGTTGTTTGTATATGTTGCTTGTATATGTTGTTTGTTTGTGTTGTTTGTTTAAGTGGTTGTGTGTTCATAAAATCCCTAACATTAACCACAACCTCATAAACACAAAAACATTAACTACACAACAACATTTGCAAGCAACAACCACGGAAGCTAGCTGTCATAACTACAACAAACACATAAAACCCACCATCACAAACACATCAACAACAAACACATCAACAACAAACACATCAACAACAAACACATCAACAACAACAGCAACAACCACTAACGTTGCTCTTCTCAGGATTACAGACTTTAACATAGAGAAGATGATCTAAGAGCCAGTCGACAGGCTTATCCCTATGGAACATCAGGAAAAATTCGGTAACCAGGGGTACATCACTTGAACGAAATAATTTTCCTGGCAGAGAAATTTATTGTTTCGAATGTTGGAAACGAATACAACGCTCTATACAATGGTAAAATAAAACGCTTTATTCAAGACATTGCAACAAAGTATAATGCCATACATAACGACATACACACTACAGAACATACAATACGATACAATACAAACAAATGAATTTAATACAATACAACACAAAATATCATACAATACACAAAATACAATCCAACAAAATAATTAAGTACCATACAACACGACAAAATTCAAAAACATACAATACATAATATAAAACAATACAACACAAAATACCATATAACACGACAAAATACAAAGACATACAATACAAATACCTAGCACCATACAATACCAATGAATCCAAGATGAGAAAATTCCAGAAGCAACCACTTTTCAGATAGATGTGTGTTAGCATAAGATTTGATACTCTCAAAATATCCTTGCTTTGATATTATATCATCTTCTAACTGATAAATAGAGTAGATAGATATCATATAAATTAGGTCAACCACAAAGATGGTAATAAAAGTAATAAATATTAACACTAAAACGATGATTTATAAACGCTGATAACAAATGATAATGTGAAGTAACTGAATGAATGAATGAATGAATGAATGAATGAATGAATGAATAGTTGCAGGAATGAATGAATATACGGGTGGGTGAATGAATGAATGAGTAATTAATAAAATGAATGAATAAATGAATTAATGAATGAATGAACGAATGAATGAATGAACGAATGAATGAAGGAATGTACGTACCTGTAGGTAATAGAACCCCCTACTTCTTGCGTACATCATCAGGTAGCTATAATCAAGGTTCTGCTTCGTTCGCCATCTGGTGTCAAAACATGGCATGAAATAAATTAATTCAATTAAATTTATTATAAAATTATTATACATAGACAAAATAATCAATTCATTTAATGAAATGTTGAAAAAACAACAGAAGATATTGGCAGGAAAAAATCAATGTATGTGCTACTGCAGTACTGTTATTAATATTTCTACTGTCTGAACTACTACTATTACTACTGCTGCTGCTGTTGCTACTACTACTACTACCACTTCAACCCTCACTAACTTCACTCTCTCCATAGTATCTCCAAACTTATCCTCAAGGTCATCCAGGTTGGGATAGTAATAAGGTGAGGGTACAATGATTTCTAGTAAGCCTTTGTCCATATCTTGCTTGAAACTTTGGATTGATTGATTGAGTGAAAAAATTAATGATTGAATGAATAAATGAATGATTGAACGAGTAAAATAATTAATAAAAGAACGGATTAACAAGTGAGTGAGTGAATGAATGAATAATCAATCGATCTGAAGAAAATGAATGAATTGAAAAATTTAATAAATAAACATTAGACAGATTGATTGATAGAACCAACAAATAGACAAATGAATGAATGAAAGCTTAACTGAATGATTGATTGATCAATCAAAAAACGAATGCATGAATGTCAAATCGATCAATCAAACAAATAACAAAACAAATTTATACTTTGCTTCTATATCTCTGATCGTTTGATTGATGAAATTTTGGTCTTCCAGCTATAACACAATAATAAATTAACATCATTAATATCTAATAATATACTCAAAACACACACAGACACGCACACACACACACACGCACACACACACAGAGAGAGAGAGAGAGCGAGAGAGAAAGAGAAACACACAAACCTCACATATGGATACAACGACGATTGCATCCATCTTCTCCTTATCATTTAGATTATCGAGAAGTGATCTCAAAGTATTAATCAGGTAGCTTTGTTTATCTCTTTTTATAGTTGGTATACCCATCACCAATGTTACTAATCAGGATGAAATTTGTGTATAATTAGTAACATATATATATATATATATATATATAAACATCATTGAAGATATATGTCCATTTTGCATTAATGACTTTCTTTAATGAACACTCAACAAGTCTGAATTTTTTAAACTCGTATTTATTTAACTTTAATTAACTCTAATTATTAACTTATATATCATTATAAACTTAATAATTAATTTTGACAATTTCCATATTCTTTCCACACGTCTTCTTTTCACATTCAACTAACTTATTTACGTTTTATTTACATCATCCGATTTTAACAAATTTTCACCGAACTAAACTTCAGTATTAATTTATTTGTTTTAATATTTAATTTAATACTATTTCACTAACTTTTTATATACATTTATATTTTTAACCATAAATTTAATTTGTACATGTTTTGCATTGTTTTCACTAACAAAGGTTTCTCGTTATTTTCTTAATAATTTTATTACACATACATTTAATATGCATTCTAATTTTATAAAAATATCTCACGCTATTTTTATTTTTTTAGGCTCTGAAGATGGACTTCCCGAAACAGCGCTGTTAGCCTTTCCATGTCTATTGTTTTAAATAAATACGAGTTTAAAAAATTCAGACTTGTTGAGTGTTCATTAAAGAAAGTCATTAATGCAAAATGGGCATATATATATATATATATATATATATATATATATATATATATATATATATATATGTATCAAAGTATATATAAGTGTTAGACAGTATATCAATCAATCAATCTTTGTTTAGCATCCAGAGACACAGTTTCCCGAGGTAGGACGTTTATACAATATATATATATATATATATATATATATATATATATATATATATATATATATATATATATATATAACCTCTGTATCTATTTTTAGACTTCTTAAACCAGGGCTGTATGGCATGGGGCATGCCCTGGAGATGGGGTAGGTAGGTGTAGATATTCGGTAGAGACATGTCATAGCTAAAGGGTATGTTGGCTGAATTAGGGAAGAAGTTAACTTCGTCAAGAGTTTTGTAATTGAGATTGGTACTGTTGTTATTTTCGTCGCCATCGTTATCGTTGTTGTTGAAGAATGAAAGTGAAGATGACGATGAGTTGGAGTGTTGCAGTTTAGTGTTATTGCTGTTGACAATGTAGTTGTTGCTGCTGATGCCATCTGACCTATAAAAGTCATTGAAGGAAATATTCAATTATTTATAAAAATTAAAAATTTTGAATAAAAAGAGATAATAAATTAAAAAAATAAAAGCTTATTTACCCATTAAACTGTTTATTATTATTATTGTTGTTGATTCCTTGAGATCTCTTAGTCTTCTGAAGACTGTATAGTTTTTTCTTCAATTTTTCAAAATTAATTTCGTGCTGCTGATTCAATAGCTCCAAATACTGCATACGGTTTCGTGATTCAAGAAGCTTTCGTTCCAATAACTCTAATTGTTGGTCATCTGTTTTCATCATCATCATCATCATCTTCATCATGAATAATCATCACCATCACTATCATCATCATCATCATTATCATCTTCACCATAAACATAAATCTTAAAATTAACCTGTATGAAACAGTGCCCAAAAGATGAGAAGAAATGAAAAAAGAATGATGACCCAAGATAGTGTCCTCAAGATTAGTCTCATGTTGATGAATTTTTAAAATTTATAATTTTTGTTCACCTTTAAGAAAGAAATAATTTATATCATTCTAATTATAAGTTGAAATATTATCCTAATAAATATGTGGACCTATTTGGAACCTTATACCATGATTAGATAATGAATAATTTGGTTATAAATAACTATAAAAATAAATAACCAGAGACTAGAATAACAAAAATAAATAGTATTATATTAATTATTCATATATAAAAAATAAATGTTTGTTTGTGTAAGTGCAAGTGAATGTTCAGTGCTTTGTACTGTTAACTGTAATAATATTTAAAAAATATATTCAATTATTTTACAAAAAAGAGAGATTGGAATAGATAGGAAAAGTAACCTGACCTGACGGGACAAATTATAAAACTTGAAAAAGGATCCAATAAAAAACAGATAATTCTATTCATTTATAATAGCGGTTATAACATGATAGGTTATTTTAAAAATTTACTAATTTCAGCAATTTAATTAGATTTTTTTTATAATTTTTGTAATATTATTTTAAAAATTTTTCAACTTTTTTTTTAAATTTTATTTTACTTTTTACATGACATTCATTTACTCACGCACATCAAATTAATTATTTACTACTACTGTATTAATTAATTAGTTGTTAATCAAAAATTACATTAGAAATTAACTAAAGAAGCAAACACGAGACGAGAAATTGACAATTAAATAAAATAACAAGCACAACTAAACATTTACCATTTTATTTTATGTATTTAACGAAGTTTAAAAGCGAACTTAACATTAATCCGATAAGCAGTTTCAGTGGTCAGGTGGTTAGCCGCGTGCAAATAATTTTCAACTCAATGGTATACCATTGAGTTTTTTTTATTAAAAACTTCAATGGTATAATGGTATTCTAGTTATATGTATCAAACAGTATCTTATTGAACAAAGTAGTATCATAAAATGAATAAAGATACTTTTTCAAAAATTAAAAAAAATTCTCATTTTGATTTCATTGCGATATCGATGATGATGATGATTGTGACCTGACTAATTAAAATGAATTGGGCTCTTGAGTTTTGTAATTTTAGGTAAGATAGTGCTCAATTGTAATGAATAGATAAGTTGAGGGTACGATAGCCGATAGACTCTGAATTTCGAAGTCTGTTGTCAAAGGTAAGCCTTGGTGGCCAGTGTTTAAAATTCGAATTTTTAAAAAAATTGTCGTTTTTACAATTTTAATTAACCGCCACTTTCCATTTTTGAATGAATTCAAATAAAAGCAACTGTTATGTTTTTCTTTCTTTACTAAAATCTCGAAATTGTTTGTAGATCTGTACGGTTAAGTGTTTGTTCGAGTTTGAACAAGCCTTGCAAATATTTTTTTTTTTTCGTCACAATTCGTTCGTTTGTTTGGTTCATTCAATTGGGTTCATTGATTGGTCTATTGGTTGGCTGATTAGTTGATTGATTGAATAGTATTATACCTATGAAAAAAATTCGATTAAGCCAACATACGGCTTTACTAGGCCACTGTATTTCACCAGACAAAAGCAATTTCTTTATTTATATTGACAAAAATAATTGTGAAATGAATATATTGACTTATTTAAAGCATTATATGTACAGAAAACCGCCAAGACACTGTTGTTTGAGAACCAGTAAGCCACTGCAGTAAGCCAACGTATGATTTCAGCAACCAATTTCTATGAGCACCAACCAGCAGAATGTAAAATATTCATTGAATATAATGAAGATAGTTGTTCAAATAACAATTTTGATCTATTTAGGCCGTTTATTTCATAAGAAAACAAATTTGTAACATGATAGAAATTAATAAATATACGATCGTAACTTTTGACTCGAACGATATCACCCTCTAAATCCCCTCCGGAAGTAAGCTCCTTGTTCGACTGTTAAAAGTGAGCGAAGGCCGTTATATTTATTCTAGTTATGTGGGTATACCATTGAGTTGAAAATTGGCATAAAGAATTTGTTCGTACATTTGTGCGCGACTAAAACTGTTATTATGATCGATTTGTCATACTTGGGTAGAATGAAAAACACTTTGTAAAAAATTTCGGGATCGTTGGAAATACAATAAAATGATGAGTTAGTTTCATTGAGTTAGAGTATCTTTACATGCATTCTTATATCAGTTTCAATCTAAAACATCTTGTTTAAGAATATTTATTCTCAATAAAAATTGGTCATTATAACATTTGAGTCTCTTGCTACTTTACCATAAACAATTTCAAAAACTGGAAGCAATTACGAACTAATTTTAATTTGTTGAACAGTACAATAATAAAATAATTATTTCATATGATGATAATTGCTGGGATGTTAACAGTATTATAAATAAAGATCGCGATTCAAATAATTTAGAGATAATAGATATGATCATTTAACAGGAAGAATTTATTTCTCTGTTCGTTCCAGCTCTTGACGCCTGTACGACAAAACGTCCTTCAATCCTTCATTCATCTCTATTTCAGGGCATGGTTTTTGCTTACACCTAAGAAGGATTTGATCAAATTATTCATAATTCCTTTTGTAATTATTCATTCAAATATTATGTTACAAAACATTTAATTAATTTATAAATCTAATTAACCGGCGAATAGGTAGAAAAAACTTTATCAATTACAAATGATGAACCTTGATAAAACGTGAATTTCATTGGGAGGCGGTTGGAATGTTATGACCTGATTTTGTTGGAGAGCATTCGATTCATTCTCGTTGATCTCTCTCAGATATTGCTTGTGTGACAGGCAAGTGGCTGGACATGTGAACTGGTTGGGCATGACTCGGCTGGCTGGCTTGACGGTGATCTTGTGGTCATTGAACCATGGAGCGTTCGTTAGGCAGAGCGATGAATCGCACACTTGAATCTCCGGTAGGTTTGATTGTTGAGCGTCGTCTCTTGGTATTTTTTTATTCTTTGCTGTTGTTGTGGCGTGATTTGGTCGGAAGTTTTGTTGCTGCGACGGTTGCAGCTGCTTGAAATATTTTTGCTGATGCGGATTCGGTGGTTGCTGCTGTGGTTGTTGCAAACAAGTTTCATGCTGCGGTAGATGTTGTTGACTGTGGTCTCGTTGATGATGCGGAAAATATTGTTGATCTTGTGTTGGCGGTTGCTGTTGAGATTGTTGTTGTTGTTGCTGCTGACAGTAATGCTGCTCGTGTGGTAGGTCTTGTTGTTGGCACTGTTGTTGCTGTTGTTGGAAGTGTTGTGTTTCTTGTTGATGAGATTGTTGCTGATATTGTTTTTGCAAACATTGCTGTGGATGTGGCGTTTGACAACGTGGTTGTTGTTTCTGATGTTGCAAACATTGTTGCATTTGAGACAGATTTTGTTGCTGTGAATATTGCTGTTGAGGTTGATGTTGATATTGAAATTGTTGCCGATGCTGCGGTTGAAAATGTGGTTGCTGGTCTTGGGAATGAAAACAAAAATTTTGTTGTTGAAGACATGAATGTTGGCATTGTTGTTGTTGCGTAGCTTGGTGATGATCTATTTTTTGCTGCTGCTGCTGTTGTGGTAGGTGTGGTTGATGCAGGTGCTGTTCTGGAAATTTTAGTTGTCGTGGTTGGCGTGAAAATTGTGGTTGTTGTTGCTGATGTTGTTGTTGTTGCTGGTTTGGAAATTGCGGAATATATACATCTGGGATTGTTGTTAATGTTTGTTGAGACATATCTTGTTGCTGTTGTTGCTGTTGATTTTTGTGTTTGTCGAAGGGCTTACAATTTTGCACTGGAAGTTTAATTGGAGTGTGGTGTTGCTGCGTTTGTGATTGAAATTGTAGTTGCGAGTCTTGTCGTTGTTGTTTTTGTTGTAGGTATTGTTGCTGTTGTTGTTGATGTTTTTGTTGTTGCTGTTGTTGCTGTGGCGGATTGGAAAGATGACGAGGAGGAAGAAATGCTTTTGGTTGTTGAAAATTTAATGGTAGTTCCAGATGCTTCTGCGAGGGTTTCCTTATTGGCGTGCAATAATTCCCGAGAGTTTCGTTCTAGTGATGAAAATATCAGCAAAGGATTTGAATAACTGAGAGAATTTTAGTCAAAAAAATATAACTGTTAGTTTTAGCATTGAATGAATTTTCAAACGTTAACGATAAATAAATGCAATTTTAATAAAATGAAACAATCCAACAAGCAACGATGGAAATGAATTATTTTGAATAATTAAACTAACAGGTGCATGATGATTTGGCGCGCCATCGAACTTTTTGATATTGGCTCTATTTTTAGAGGACTGCTGAACGATCTGTTTGATTTTTCGCGTAGTGACCTTCTTGTTGGAGGGCAGCATGTGTGCGAGGTTGGCCTGGAGGACCGCTGGCTGGTTATCTTCAACGTGGGCGGGGTTGTTCATTTTTTTGTGTTTCTTCTTCTGACTGTGCAGCATGGGCACGATGTTCTCGCAGTTGACGACAATCTCATATGCCGGCAGAGTAGATTGCTTGGCGGAAGTGACCTCGACCTTTGAACTGTTCTGACTTTTCTGACCCGAGGTCAATAACTTTTCCTTGTTAAGGTAGGTTGGCCTGAGGACGATTTGTTGTTTGATATGCTGGACACGTCGGGGATCGATCTGCGACGTCGACGAGTACTGCTGCTGATTGGCGTACTGCGAACTCCTGTAATAATTCCGCTCAAGTGATGGAATGTCGGAGAGTTTATCCGTCAGCAAGGATTTCTTTGAATTTGAATCCGAATGTGATTTGTGCTTTTGTACGCTGTGGCTGCTGCTGAGTATGTTTTTCATGTCTTGTAGGAACGAAGTTTGATTGGGGATGTAAGTTTTTTCTGTCGTTTTTGGAGTCAGGTTTATATTGTTTTTTAAGCTTGCTGTAGCTTTCGTAGTTGAAGAAGTTGAGTCCAGCTGTTTTTTCCTGCCACTTGAGTCAGATTTGTTGTGTGACTGGTGAACGTTGTTGGCACATTTCAGCTGATCGTCAAAGTTTTTCTCCGGAGTATTGACGGAGACGTTCTTCAAAATGTCGTTCTCGTAACGCGCTTGTTGGTCTCCGAGAATGTCATCCAAACATTTTTTGGAAGAAGCGAACGTTTTCATTTTTATCTCGTCCATCTCACGATCGCCGCTCTCCTCTTTCGATTCAGGTTTTCTTTTTAATTTGGAATCGAAACTACTTTTCGTGAGGCACCCGGACGAATCTTTCTTCGATTGTTCCGTATTTGGATTTTTTTCAAAAATTCCGGAATCTGCCGTTTGACTTATTATCTTAGAAGAATCAATATCATCCACTTCTTTATGAGGCGTGGGCAACAGTCTTTCAACATCTATCTCTCCACCTGGGAGTATTTCGCCATTCATTTCCGGCATTTTTGAAAATTTTTCTTTTTCTGACATCTTTTCGGCACTGTTGGAAGAATATTTGAAGGAAAGATTGTTTCTTTCATCAGACTTCATTTGACCTCCACTTAATTGTTTCTCCAACACATTTTTACACTTGTCTATTTTAGCATCACTTTCTTTGGGCAGATAACTTGCGTCGTTTACGTCCGTCTGTATTTCCTCGTTCTTCAAACAAAAGTTATGTTTCTCCGGATTATACAAACCATTCGACATTTCCTTCATCTGTTCGTGCAGGTCCGAGATATAATTGTCGTGAGTTGAGACAGCTTGGTCTACGAGTTTCTTCTTCTCAGTTTGACAATCTGGCATAGATTTAACTGAAGATGAATTAGCGACTGATGATTTGGACTTCATTTCTTTTGTTCTTTGTAATTTTTTGTTGTCAAATTTTTGATACGGGTTTTTGTAATCAAATCGATGTTTGTCTGGCGAAAAGATTTTTATTTTTATTTCTTCATCGGCTCTTTCCGCTAAATATTTTTTGACGTTTTTATACATCGAGTTTCCTTTTTCATTTGGAACTTTTGAAAACTTGTTGACTTCGAATGGTTCTTCTGAATGTTCGGCACGAGCTTGCAAAACGCTCCTCAATTTTTTCAAAACATTGTCACAACTTGGCAGAACCTCGTAACTATCGCTGTAAGCCAACTTCGAATTCGACGGCTCGTGAAAATGGTTTGAAAACTTCTTGTCATATGCTTCGTCTCCTCTACCGTGGTATGTCGGCTTGCTTTTTAAGAACACATCCTGAGATTCATGTTCTTTATCTTTTTCATTTGCCTGTGGAGGATGTTCACCGGATTGAGAATCATTTTTTGTTACATTTTTCACTACATTGTTCATTCCATTTCGAGGAAACACTTGTTTCTGTCTGTTCATGTTTTTATTCCACAAACTATAAATTGGTTGAGGAGGTGAGCTACTGAGCGGTCCTCTGTGATTTCGAAACGTTGGAGACGTGACAGCTGGAAAACTTTTCTTTGCAAGTTGCTTCCTAGAATTACTTTCATCTGCTTTTGAAACGCTCTTCTCTTTATCAGCGTATGAATTTTTTTCATTAACCCTCTGCCCATTTTCATCAGGTGTTGTATCTGTTTTATTGCCATCTGCTTTTTTTGATGTTGTCTGTGAGATTCTAATGTTTTTGGACACGTTGAAGTCTTTCTTATGTTCCGTGTTATAAGATACATATAAGTTGGTGTTATTTTTCGTTCTGTAGGGCCGATCATTCTTCAACTCTGTGATTCCGTACTGCTGGTCGCCTTTGTGCAGCATGAAATTTCTTCCGTGTTGAGATTTGTAGGACTGTAAGAAATTTTCAGCATCAGGCATATCAATCATTTCTGAATGTGTCTTCTTGAATGCTTCCATGTTGTGATAAGCAGCTGAATTCCTCACTGCACTGTAAGAAATTTTATGTGAGTGAGATTTGTTGTGGACGTCTTTATAAGCTGGCGTAGAAGATTCATGGCTGCCTACATTTTCTCCATTCTGCCTCTTACTTGTAGGTTCGACCGACGAATCTAGCGATTGAATCGCGGTGGGAACGGGTGATTCGTTTGATTGTTCGCTTCGTGGATGAACTCTGGTATTGCTGGTCTTGCTGATGTTATTCGCTTTATGGTTGTTATAAGTAGCAGGTAAATAATTTTTATCAGCAGTATTTCTGCTGTTTCTATGAGGGTTTTGTGAAATTTTTTCGATGTCAATTTGAGAATGTTCTTCAGCTTCAAGGACTGATTGTACTGCTTGCATGTTGATCGGTGTCTTGTTCAAATGCCCTTTCTTCGGAGTAACATTTTGAAAGTGGCTGTTGTAACTTCGTCGGTCACCTGATGAGGACGTCAATGTTGCATTGTTTTTATTGAAATCTCCGTTCATCGCTTGTAGAATCCGTGTTGTATCCTGGTTAATTGTTGAATTTTTTTTATTACCGTGTTCGCATTTCAACGTGACTGGTTGCAATTGGTTTAAATAATCGGTGGCCTCCTTCAAAGAATTTGAAAACTTGTTGATTGCTTCCTCCAATTCCTTACTCTCAGGTGAGATGGAGTGCGGATTATTCTCTCTGCCTGTGAAATTTTTAAAATTATTTCTATAATCTGCAATGTCAATCTCAGTTGACGAGAAAGAAGAATTGGGTTTAGCAGCTTTGTCATGTTTTGACGTGATAGAAATTAATTGGTTTATAAAATTACCTGATTCACTTTTGTTGCTTTTGTCATTTTCTGAATCATTAAAATCTCGTTTATTCGATGAATAGTTTCTTCCATTTGACATGCCTACAGATCTCGGCCGAAGTGAATGTTTTAAACTTTCATAGTTAGGCATTTTCTCACTTCCTAAATTATCATTGTCGCGATTTGGTTGTATTAAATTATTTTTTGAAGTGTTTTTTGAATGATTTGTAAATTTTTCATCAGTTCCGTTGAATTTTTTGTCGTTCAGTAGACTGGAGCTTAAGCTGGTGTTGCTTTTTTTGCTCACCAGGAGTTGTTTGTCGATTGGGAAGCCGGTTGGCTTCCTTGTTTTGATTTTGTTAGAACGCTGAATTTGCGAAGAGGTTAAACCTACGCTAGTTTTGCTCGCTTTCGGCGTCACCAGCTTAACGGTTTTCTTTGTTGGTGTTTTAGAAGGAGCTTTCCAGTCAAACCTGTGCTCATCGAGATTTGTTCTACTGTACATTGGGGTTTTTAAAAGAGTTTTGCTACTTTTTGAGGTAGTTGGTTTAGTGATTTTTAATTCGTCATGTTTCTTTTCGAAAGAGAACACATCAGAGTTTCTTTGCAGACCTCTCAAATTTGCTTCAGTCCTCTTCTGTACCGTTGAAAAATTGTTGAAAATATTTTTGCGGTTCAAAGTTGAAGTTTTGATGTCATGCTCCTTGTTTTTTGTGTGTTCGTATCTGAGATCCACTGTCTTTGCTGCACTTTGATTCAAATTCGACGAACTTTTATCCGAAAGACCATCAGTAAAATTTTCTTTTAAAAAATTATTTCTTTTTCTTAATCGCTCGTTTTTTTCATTAAAATAATCGCACGATTCAAGCTTATACAAATTTGGGTCTTCATATTTTTGTGAATCAGCTTGATTTGATGAGCGGAAATTGATGTTTGATTTTAAAGGTTTCAGATAATTTGTAGAAAACTTTTTCTCGGGTATGACGTCAACAACATTTGAAAGTTTCGGCATTAGTTTTATCTTCTGTTCTGAAATCAATCGTTTGACATTTGCGTAACTGGACCCGCCAAACGTGATGCCATTTTTTGAAAAAGTTTTTTGGTAATTTGAATTTTGTGCTGTGGAGCTTTGCTTCTTATCAAATTTTGAGTTTGTAAGTGATCTAGCGAGGGAGATGAATGAAGTGCTCCACTGTTTTTTCGACGTTTCATCCCAAGCTTTTGGATTTTTATAATTATTTGGACTGATGTGTGCTGGTTTTAAAAGTTTTTTTGGAGTTGAACGTGATCGGAAGTTAGGCGACGACGAGATGAACGATTTGGTAAATCGCTGCTTGTTGTTCTTACAGACTGATTGTTTCAGTAGTGGCGAAGCTGCTATGTTCGTGCCAAAAACAAATCAATATCTCGACAATTTCGATAAAATTTCCAATCAGATGAAAAGATTAATTCATGTTTAATCGTACGTAATAATATTGGTAATTTTTAATTAGCAACTGAGCGTCCAAGTGTCAGCCAGAACTTTAAATGAAGCGAAACCAGCACGTTTACAAAGAGTAAAAATTGCATGCGCACGAGCATTCCCATTGTAAAAAAATAAAACTCAAAAATTTTCAAGAATTTAACCTTTTGAAAATTTGGCCGATAGGAAGGAATATTTTCTTTCTAAATCTTTCAGTAATTCACTTCGTTTGGTTGATGGATGTAAGCACTTCTCACTGGCTTTCGTTGCCAATCCAATATTCATTGATGGATTTTTGAGCACGCCTTCTTAATTTCATTAGATTCTCCTGCTGCTGACTTACAAATTATTATATACCTTGAATGAAAGGTAAAAATTCAAACTAAATTTGTTTTCGTAGAAATTGTTTGGTACAAATATTTCTTTCTCTCTCTCTCTCTTTTATGTAGGTATATTTATATGAACGTATACTCTTTAACAGTTTACTGGCAACATTATCATTAGGTTTCTTCGGATCTATCTATAGACAAATGGAAATATTGAAAAATAAAAATGAAAAAAAAGACCTACCAGTGCTAAACAAGCAAATTCTATCTCTCTCTCCCACTTCGAAAACTTTTGAGATGTTTCATCAATGATATTTCTAGACTTTAAATACAAACATATAAAGCGTACGCGAGGATATTAAAATTTTTTAAATTTAAAACCCTGAAAGGTTTTTAAATAAAAAAAATGCTATTATTATGATTATATTAGAGATATTTAAAATATTTGCACTAAAGTTTATTTCTTGACGTAATAATCTTCATTGGAAATAAACAAATAACTTTTTTTACTTTGTTTTTTTAATATATATTGAGTTAGATAATTTATTGTTTTAATTTTCAATTAAAAGTATTTTAAAACGATTAGCTAATAATTGTGCCAAGTTCATTTCAAAATGTGCTGGTTGATTGCTTGAAAAATTCATGATTAAAATCTTGCATTTCTTGTCTCTGCAAACAAAACGTCGTCTTGTCCTAAGTTTTAAAAAGTTCCAGGTTGTCATTTAATTTCTTTTTTCATTAGGATTAAAAATTTATTCCAAAAAATGATTTCATTCTTATATTTTAAGTGATTTAAATTAAAAAATTCCTATAACGAATGTGGTTCTCTGATTGAAAAGTACTAGATTTTTATATTCCAATAAAACTTTTATTAATTCGTCTGCGTTCGGGTGTGCTGTGGTACATTTTAAACGATTCCGGGGTATACCTCGCCTCCTCTCTACCTCCACTCCTTTCCATAAACCAACGCCACACGGAAACTTCTCCACCCGATTCGACGTCATTATGTCATCATCTCGATGTCTTGAATGTAATATAAGACAAAAATTTTGAGTTGAAGCTGGTGTTAAGCTCCTTGTAACACCGTTGTTGTTGTTGTTGTTGTTGTTATTATTTTTGTTGATTTTAATTTTGTTATTTTCGTTGAAGTGGGTGTTGTTTCTCCCGGCGTTAGGTTGGTATAACGAAGGAGTATTTGCTTTTTGGACCGACGGCATATTTTTGTTAACCGTCTCGTTGATGTTTCGAGTTAGAATGGGAACTTGTTTACAAGATTGTGGGAATGGTAGTGGGAAGTTTGTCTGTGGAGTGTTGTAAGCCTTGTCGGAGTTCAAGGGTTTTGATCCTTCTTTTCCCCCTGGCTGAAAATTTAAAATAATTTTCGTCCATTGTATTAATATGTCCAGTAATAATCAAGTTATTTACATTGAAATATTTTTTATTCAGATTTTTTTTAACAGAAACTTTGTATTGATTTCAAAAAGAAAATACACAATGTATAAAAATAAACTATTTACATTCTATAAATATGTTTAACATCAAGATGTAAATTGAAAATTTAGAAAAAAATTCAAGTCACCATCGGTACAGAGTCATACATTCTGCCCTGAGTCATGAATGTAGGTGCCGGATTTGTAACAATTGATGTCTTAGATGTTGTTTGTTGTTCGTCAACTGACTGACAATTTTGTGGTGCAATTGAGACAGACTGCAGTTCTAACCGCTTCACGTTTTCAGAATCTTTTATGGGAAGGCAGACCAACTGCATCCGGTTTTTAGGCGGAGGTCTGGATTGCATTTGATCAGGGTTCAGTGGGAAGGTCACACCAAAACTTTGATTTTGCACATAATGATTTTGTACGTTTGGATTTTGTACATGTTGTTTCTGTACATCCACTTTCTGTTTTGAAATTTTATTGGGACGTTTTACTGGTTGTGGCGACAGGTGTGGTTGAGAATAGACGGTGGTTTTATTTGATGCTGAATTTTCATAAAAATTAGCTGACGTGGTCGGTGACTTTTTTGAGCTGGGCGAATAACTGGTTGGTTTGTGTGTCTGTTGGACTGAAGAACAATTGGTTGGTTTGTGTGTTTGTTGGATTGGTGAACAATTGTTTGGTTTGTGTGTTTGTTGGTGTGGTGAACAATTGGTTGGTTTGTGTGTTTGTTGAAGTAGTAAACAATTGGTTGGCTTGTTTATTTGTTGGAGGTTTTGTTGTCCCGAGACATCAAGATTTGAACCTTGAAAAAGGTTAATTATTTTTGGCCGATTGTTTTTTGCATCATCTTCAACTAACTTTATTATTCTTGCTGTTTCTCTTCCTACCCGTTTGATATTCTTTTCGAGTTTGGGTTTTGACATTTTTTTTGTTTTGTTTTCATGTTTTTGGTTTTTGATGTTTTGCGAGTTGGACTTTGGTTTAACTTTTAACTTTTCAGAAAAGTTTTCAATATAATTGTTATTTTGTAGGAGAGTTTTATTTTTGTGGTTATCTGACGTCGTTTTATATTCATTTTCGTTTGTTGGTGTTCTTTTTATACAGGGCTGATCCCTGTTTCCCAGAACTTTTGAAGTAGGGGTGTTATTATCACACTGTGTAAATTCATCCTCTGATGGTTTTGCAGTCAACGTCTTGCTTTCAATAGCATGTAAAATTCTATCTTTTGATGTTTTGGGGGCTTCATTTTCTAAAGATTTTTTGGATTTGATGGATTTTTCAGAATTTTTTTCAGACAGTGAAGATTTTGAACAATTGGACGACTTGTCTGATTTCCTTTTAGGCTGAACAGACGTATTTGTTTCAATTTTTTCATATTGCTTCACCGTATATTTTGGAGTTTTCAACGTTTTTTGCGTGTGCTTCTCATCTGATACCAACATTTTGTCATCTACGAAATTGACTCTTCTTTTTTCATACGATTTGACGGAATGCAGCGCACACCTTGAATGATTTGATGTGCTCTCAGATTTTTTCAAATTACTTTTTTCAAAAGGTTTCGTTTCTTGCGTGTTATCAGTTCTGTTTGACGTATCAATTGACCAATGAGTATTTGCTGTGTTGTAAGAAATAATTGGTTGTTCATTTTCATCAACTTTACTTTTTGATTCGAGTATATTTTTAGTGCTCTGGTCTGTACGGGTACTAATTGTCGATTCAAATAATTCATTCTTTACTCTGTTCATTTGATTAGTGCCGTTGTTTCCCAGCAATGCATTCTTCTTCATTAGATCTATAGAATCAACTGCGTTAGCCAAACTTTTTTTATTCACGGTTAAAAATTCATCTATTTTAACACTAATTGATGATTTAGATGAACGTTTCTCAAGACGATTTTCTGAAAATTTTGTTTTGCCGCAATCCGCGTTGTATCTTGACTGTTTTGAGGTTGGAAAATGTGTTGCGTTTTCTGACATCAATTCGTTGATTTTTTTTTCAAAGGTCCTACTTCGATTTCGTTTAAGTTCATTTTGAAATTCACGAGAGAATTTTGTTTGCGGATTATCTAAAATGTTACTGCTGTAAACTTTCTGGTTACCAGAAGGTCTGTATTCTTGTTTATGAAAATGCGAATGTGAGCTAGGTCTGGTGATTTCATTTCCAGATTGGTTGTTCGTTTCACTGTTACACGGCGCATCCATTTTTGGAGTTATCGAAGAATTGTTCATTGACTGCGGCGTTCCCGAAAAATAATCACTTTCGCCATTAAACCGTTTTAAACCGTCAATTTTTTCCAATCTGCCTTTTCCATTTCTACCATCAACACTTTGTTCCGTTACTAAATTCGTTCTATCTTCGTTCAAATTGTGTTTAAATTCACTTCTATATTTGTTTATTAGTTTCTGATAAAATTCGGCATTGGGTGTGTATCTTTTCAAATGACTGCTTGCGGCAGAGTTGTTCAAAAATGTGCCGCTCTGACGTGGAGACGCAAAATTGAAATGAGAGTTTCTGTACGATAATATCGTCGATTTTATTTCTTCTCTGCGCAAGAGTGGCGACTTTAACGGAGGCGATAAAAAATTTGAGCTGGAAAGTTTGTTGGTGGAATGAGGTGGCTTTTGATCAAGCGACTCTTTTCGTCTTTCCGTTGCCTTTCCTTTCATATATTCGTTCAGTCGAGACGGAATATGTGTAACAACTTTTAATTTATTTTGGTATGATGATGTACCGGTGGTGCGTTGGTTGGAATAATTTTTATAAGATGACAAAGTTGATTCAATGAACTCTCTGTGAGGCGATGGTGATCTCAGTTTGCTTGGCAATGGTACGTTACTGCTCGTTTGATTGTTTGGAGTCTTGCTGACTGCAACATTTTGGTGTTCATTCTTTTGATGTTCATTCTTAGCAGTTTCTACCGTAGTGATTGGCGTTGGTGAACGTTTTCCTTTTAAAATGTTGACGTTGTTTAAGTTTTCTTTCATTCGATCGCTATCTGCATACTTTGTCATCAACGCATCAACTTTAATCTTCTTACCTGGAACATTTGTGCTGAGATCCAATTTATTAAACGAAATATCTTTAAGCGGGGGAGTGGAAATTTTTTTTATGTAATTATCTTTGCTACGTATTTCGTCGATGTTCATTTTGGATTGTGTCGGACTTTTATAACTCGATGCTCTCGATTTCGTCCGACGGTTTGGATCAGAGTCAAGTTTGTTTTCTACAATATTTGATTTTAGTCTTGAAAATTTTTGTTGAATTAGTGGAACATTTTTTAAGTACCAGGCAGAGTCAGATTTCGTTAAGTAATCTTCAATCTCCAACGTCCTGGGACTTTTGCGAAGGGATTGTAGAGTTTTGTGGAAAACATTTTGCCGAAAAGCCCTCCCGTCTTCCACAGGCGGTATGGGGCTCTTTGGTATTTTTATCTTCTGTTCAATTTTGGCATCATCAGCAGCTACATTCTGCTTATTGGACATCAGAGTCAACGTCCTCCAGAACTTTTTCGAATTTGTTGGACTGAATTTTTCGCCGCTTACATTTCCTTCAAACTTCTGCTGGCGGTCTATTGCATCTGTGTGAGTAATTGGTTTATTTGATTGTCTTAAAACAGAGAAAGATCTAAAAAATAATTTGTTATCAATTTGGTTGTTTGATATTTTATCTTTAACAAAATTTATATTTTGCAACACGGGGGATCTGTTATTATTTGTTAGTGCTGAATACTTATTTCTAAATAGTAAATTTGGTTTGAGTCTGGTGCTTTTCCTCAATGCGTCAGAGTTAGAAAATTGTTCTTTCGTTTCAAATTTAAATTTTTCATATTTCTTATCAGCGAATTTATTTTCGCTAAATTTTTCATTCAATTGGATTTTCTCATGAGTTTCCGTTTCATTTCTAATAGAGGTACGCAGGGGATTCCTGAAATCTAGCCTGTCCCCGACATCTTTATAAGCAGCGTTGAAACTATTTCCATCCCTCCTTCTCTTCCTCTCATTCAGAATATTTGAGAGTTCGTTATTGTTTGTAATTTGTTTGAGCATCGGAGTTATTTTCTTTAAAATTTGTTTAATTTCATTTGAAAATGAGTTGTTATTTCCGTAACTTTCAACTTTCAACTTGCCCTTTGAAACAATTTTGTTTGCATTTAAAACTTTTGAATCAACTTTTTGGCTGATTTTTTTATCTAGGGCTGTTGATGAAATTTTTTTGGTGTCACTACCGAAGAGGTTTAAAAACAATTTCTCGGTGTTGTTCTTTTCAAAGAAATTTGTTTTAGATAAAATTCTTTGATTCCCTGTTGATGCAGTAACCTTAAGATTTTCTCTTTTTGTTTCCGAGCTATTCATCCATCTGTCTGCTCGAGTTAAATCAACGGAGCTCATGTGTATGTGTAACTTTTTCATTCCATTTGATGACTCAAGTGCATTTTTAACTGCACCACCATCACTCAAGTTTCTGAAACGATTTTTGCTCGCAGATTTCAAGTTTTTTAAATTTCTTCCAATTTGTTCCGATCTACGAATTTTATTGAACAATTTTTCTTCAGAAGTGATATTTTTAATTTTTAAGGATGCAATAATATCAATGATTTGTCTGTTTGTCTCGTAATTATTCACCCAGACGTCTTTATGTGAAAACATATTTGAGAAATGTTGGTTTTTGTTTGATTTGGTAGCGTTTTTGAGGGAGCCACTAATGTTACTAACTTGATTTTTACTCGTCGAATTTGAGATTTCAGATTGTTCGACAATGTTTTGTGATCTAAAATTTCCGTTTAATAAATTTTTTTCAGACGTAATTCTTTTGTTTCCTACTGATGATGCAATTGTTTTAACGCTCTGTCTACTCGCTCTATTATTATCTACCCAGTTGTTTCCGTGCATAATATCGATGGAGTTCATATTGAGAGGTAATTTTTTCGCGTTTTCGGGTAATTCATTGAAGGTAATCAACTGATTCTTGTTCCTTAATTTTGAATTTTCAAATAATTTCACGTTGTTTTTTGATCTAAAAATTCTTCCAAACAAATTATCATCAGATATAATTTTTTTATTTCTTAAAGACGCGATATATTCCGCGAAGTGTCTGTTCATTTGAGAATTATTTATCCAGTTGCTTTCTTGAGAGAAATCATTTGAATTCGTAAAAGTGGTGGCTAAACGTTGATTTTTGTCCGAATCACCCAGGTTGCTAACATAATTTTTGTTCAATATATTTTCAATTATTTTTCTGTTGATTTTTGGTTTAAAATGTCCACTTAACAAAATTTTTTCAGATGTGCCGTAAGGATTTTTTGTCCCGGTGATAACGTCGAGGCTCTGTTTTCTTGCGTCCGAGTTATTAATCCAACTACGTCCTCGAGATAGATCAAATGAACTTATAGAAGTATGCAACTGCTGACTTTTGTCTGATTCAATGGTGTCTTTCAGTGAATCACTCAAGTTACTGAGCTGATTTTTGTTTACTGATATTGAATTTTCAGTAACTTCTTTTTCCTTTTTTGGTTTACGACTTTTATCTGACAAATTTTCATCAGAGAAGATGTTTTTATTTCTCACGGGTGCAGTAATCTCAAAACTTGTCGGTTGTTCGGGATTGTCTATCCAGCTGTTTCCTTGAGTTAAATCAGTCGAACTGATGTAGACGGATAGCTGGTTTGTGTTTGATTCGATCGGGTTTCTGACGGAGCCACTGGAGTTACTGACTTCATTTTTACTCCCTGATTCTGAAAGCTCACACTTTTTTAAATTATTTTCTTCTGATTTAGTAAATTTTTTGTTATGAATTTTTGTTGTGCTTGTTTTATTATCTTCTCTTTTCATGTAAGGTTCATTTGTGACAGTTGCATGCTTCAGTTTAGGTGTCAAATTGTTCCAAAACAATTTAACTTTGTTGGGATATGAATTAAAATTACCGTAACTCTTTGAATGCGTTTCATGCAATGAGAGATTTTGGCTTGAAACGGGAAATATCGAACAAGTTTGCATTTTTTTATGAACGAAAACTGGGGACTCTTTTAATGAATCATTTTTTGATGTAGTTCCTTGATTTTTTATTGAAGTGCCCTCCTTAGCGTCCCGTATTTTAGCTTCTGATGGATCTCTTCTGATACTTTCGTAAATGGAGTTGAAAGAAGTTAGCTGGCTGGATAAATTTTGATCATCACCCGATTTACTCATACTTTTGACTGAAAATTTTATTGCGTTCGAAGGATATTCGCTCAACGATTTCAAATGCTCAGATTTATTATCTTCAATGTTTTCTGGTAGGAAAAATTCTTTCATGGGAATTTTTTTTGCGCTACTCACGTTTTCCTTATTTTCTTTCTTCTCTGTAAATTTGGGCGTCAGATTTTTCCAGAATAATTTAACTTTATTTGGGAAAAAGTTGAAGTCATCGTAGCTTTTAAAATTAGTTTCATTGAATGAGACATCTTTGCTTGAGATTGGAAATGTTGAAGAAATTTGTTTTTTACTATAAATCTTAACCAATGAATCTCTTATTAGATCTTCTACAGATGAAATTTCTTGATTGATTGTGGAGGAATCCTCTTTAGCGCTGCGTGTTTTATCTCTATGTGTGCTTTCCCTTGTGTTTTTGTTAGTTGAACAAATAGAACTTAAATCGTCAGATAAATCTTGGCTTTTGTTTGGTTCACTCGCACTTTGAACCGAACAATTTTTTTCATTGGAAGGATAGATGCTCACTGATTTCATATTAGTAGGCTTATTTTTTGCATTCCCTGGTCTCATATATTCTTCGCTCAAAATGGTTGTCGTACTTTTTTCATTCATTCTTTCTTTTCTTTTAAATTTATTTTCTTCTGTTACATTCTTAAATCTAGGTGTTAAACTACTCCAAAATAATTTAACTTTATTAGAAAACAAATCAAAACCAGCGTAACATTTATAAGGAGCTTCGTGTAATGATACGTTTATCGCTGAAGTTGGAAATGTTGAAGAAGTATGTTTTTTAATATTATTTAACCTGACATCGCTCGATTTGAAACTTTTATGCGTTTCGTTACTTATTCTTGTTTCAGTTTCATTCTTGAGTGACTCTTCAGAGCTTTTTGAAGGAACGTTTGAAGAGCTCTTACTGATTTCGGAATTAGCGTTGAAATTGTTTAGCGATGAAGTCATCGTTTTAATATGGCTTTCTGGTGTTTTTTGAAGATCAACATCTTTGTTCTCAATTGATAGCTTTGATGTTGATTTAATGTTTTTCTGAGACTTTTCAACGGTTTTAGAATCAGAAGTTTTATCTTCGTATGTTAAAGAATGTGATTTAGAAGACAAATTATTTTTGCATGATTTGTAAACTGTTGAGGAGGTTTGTGCAACTCCATCTTGTTTCGCGTCAGATAAATTTTCTTCTTCGTCAGAAACATCAGTTACATTTTTAACAAGTTTTTTGATTATATTAACATTTGAAGTTGTTCTTTTAATTGTCGGTTTCAGCGGTTGTAAAAAACTTTCTACAGATATAACTGAACTTCTCGTTTGTGCTTTCATTAAACTTTTTTCCCGTTGTCTCGTATCGAACACTTTTACACGCTGTCCGTTAATTTTGAAGACGCTTGACTTTGGCGGTAGTTTGAAAATTTCAGATGTAACATTTTTAAAACATTTCACTTTCGGCTCAATTTTGCTCTTTGTCAGTGTAAATTGCATTGGTTTTTGAAAACTGTCAATTTTTGTTCTTGGTTGGAAAATATTTGATATGATTTTCTTCATAACTTTGAATTTATTGACTCGTTCGGTCGATAGCACAGTTTTGGGCATCGGCTTCAAGAAAGTTTCGCTTTTAGATGAATTATGTTCAGTATTCGTTGCTGGCTTCACGTGGATATAAGCGTTGCTAACAATTTGCTGAGCTTCGTTATGGACGACTGTATTGGATGAAAAAAATGTTGAAAGGTTTCTAGCATTGGTGTTTGTTGACAGCATTCGTGAAAAATTAAAATAATTTGCAGGATCTATTTTTTCAATCGATTCGGATGATATTGAATTATAAGAAACTTGGCGGTTATTATTTAGAGAATCTGTGTTTTTGCGATGATAAAATTTTTGTTGAGGAACTATTTCATGATTTGATTTGTTGATTGTTGATGTTATCATGTTATTAGGTGATGATAATAATTTATAGCTTGAAGAACAATTTGTGGAAGAGTTGGGATATTTTTTGTTCCTGCTTCTTTTCGACACTCCGTAACGTTTCCTGAGTTGCTTCTCTGGGAAGAAATGCATTAATGCCTCCATGGTTGAGGAGCTGCAACTTTCGCTCTGTGAAATATAATTTCTTAATCTCTTGTTAGTTCTCGGATCATATTCTTCTGTTCTCATCTTCGTAAGCGGATTGAAATGATCCGATTCGTTCAATTTCAATGGTTCTCCAATTATCGGCCGATAGGTCTTTAAGAGTTTACATGCTGAGATTTCCACACAAGGCTTCTTTGTTGTTGCCGGTTGAACTGTTGACGTCACATCCGGTTTTACATCTTCCCTACTAATTTTTAAATTTTTCTTGGACCGAACGTTATTTGAAACCGTCTTGTCAGGCTCAGTTGTGTGTTTTGAAAAAGAAACTTTTTTATCGGGGATTTCAATAAAATGCTTCGTGAATTCTTTAGATGCGATATTTGGCCTAATAACTGCAGGTGTTATGGGTGTGGGCATTTTATTTTTATGGCGATCGTCATCGGGCTTACTCGGTTCGATAGTATTTGAAGTATTTTTTCTAACATTTAGTTGTTTGCTAGTTTTTGGTTTTAACTTTTGCTCATAAATTTTTAGTGGTTCAGTTTTTGTTTTATTTGATTTCTTGATTATTATAACAGTAGTTGAAGCTGCTTCCGAAATTTCCGAGGTTGACGTTGTTCCCGGTGTTGCAGGGCTCGATTGCTTAATACTTGAATCTTTCACTTTTGATTCATTTCTTGATTTCTCAATTTTTGAATTAATTTTTGCAGTTTCATTCCGAATAATTTTCTTTGATTCAGCTTCAGAGACTCTTTTTTGCGTTTTGGTTTTAATAATATTGTGTGATTTTGGTGGCTCCTTCTTCGAAGTAAATTTTCTCGGTTCAATATGTTTCCGTTTCATAATTTTCAAACTTTCTCTGCGAAGTTGTTCAACAGTACTTGAAGAAAGTTGGTCAGGTTTAACTGTTGGTTTTGCAATTTTTGAACTTCCTTCTTTTGCCTCAACTATTGGTAGTTGGTTTGTTTTCGTCGTAACGGTTTTTGGTTTTACATCTGGTTTTTTCACTTTTGATTTGACTTCAAGTAGCTCAACTTTTGATGGAATTTTTTCAACTTTAGAAGTAGCTTTTTTTATTTTATCTTTCATGTAATTTTTTGATGACATTTCATTTAGTTGTAATTTTTCGGGTGATACAATTTTCGGTCTAATTTCTTTCGTTTCCAATTTTAATTTTTTAAATTTTGACTTATCTTTTCTTTTTTCTACAGTCACTGGTTTAACTTTTGAAATAATTTTATCCGGCTCAACTTTTATTTGTTCTCTCGGTTTATATTTCCCCTCAACTTTCAGTTTTTCAACTTTTTTGTTAACGTCTTTCAGGTTAAGGTTTGGAGGTTCCACGTCTGATTTAATTTTACGCTTCTTAATTTCTGTTTTTTCAACTTTCGATTTGAATTTTGTTGCCTCTCTTTCCAGCTTTTCGACTCGCGAATCACCTTTTTTGGGTTTAGGGTTTGTCGACTCAACTTTTGCTTCAACTTTTTGTATTTTAACGTCTGGCGGTTGAACTTCTGAAGTTATTTTAGCTCGCTCACTTTTTGCGTGATGTTCTCCTGGCTTAGCTTTCAACGATTCGTGTTTAGCAATAACTTTTGACGGTTTAATAACCTTGGAAACATCTTTTTTTGTTTCTTTGGGAAGTGTGATTTTTGTAGTTACTGCTTTCGATTTACTCTCTGGCGTTTCATTTTTAGAAATATACTGACTTGATAGATTAGTTTTTACGTTTAATTTTTTACCCTTCGAAACTACGCTTGGTTCATATTTCACGTTTTGATCTTTTGATTCGATAGACACTTTTTTTGCCACGGACCCTGTTTTAGATTTCTCAACATTACCGACTTTAAAATTGATGAATCCAAAATTTATCAGCCTGATATTTTTCGATTGTTCAGTTTTGAGAATATCGTCTTCCAGTTTGTCAGATTTTGTCTTATCTTTTTTTATTATTATCGTTTTAATTTTCTTCTTAACCGGTTGTCCGATGGCTGACTCAACCTGTCCATCATGCGCTGAGTTTTTTTTCAAAGATTTTCTTAATTTATCATTTGTTTTTTTATGGGCCGAAAACAATCGTAAAATTCGTTTACTAATTTTTTTATCTTTGTTCCGCAGTTTTTTCGCTTTTTTATCATTTCTGCTTTTGTACATTTTATACGTTTCATTTTGACTTATTTCATTTTCTATTTTGTCAAACATCGCTTCAGCGTAAATGTTGGTGGAATGCAGTTCGACATGTGAAGTTGTGCGTGGTTCGTCTCGTGAAAAACTTAATTTCGGTACGACGAATTGATTGTCAGCAGATAAATACACGTTTGAAGGGCATTTTTTAACCTTTCGTTGCTCATTAGGTGGAACGAACAACTTCTTGTGAGTTAAATCTAAGTTGGACTTACCACAGTGCAGATGTATCATATCAGAAGGTTGCTCGTTGGGCGGGTAATGCAGTTTACGATTCCCCAAATCTGGGTCATTCCTCATACACGTCATAACATTTTGTCCTCCTTCCAACTTTGTCGCGAATTGAACTGATTTTTTAGGATCAAAATTTTGGGTATGAATACATCTCACCATATTCGTGCTATCTCTAAGGCAAACAAACTTATGCCTGAATTGACTTGCACTTGGTTTGAAAGCGGCATTAGGAAATATTTCCAGATCATTTTCCTCTTGTAAATTTCTACTGCTACTTTGGCTTGTATTTCTTTCACTGCTGCGTTGGCTTCTACGAGAGCGATTACTATAAACAGATCGAGTTGACCTCCTTCCAAGAAAACTGTTGTCTTTATTGGAAAGATTTGTTTCTTTCGAGCTAAACTTCGACGTTAATAAATCAGACTTCTCTGAACTGTTCATCAATTTGTTCTGCTCAGTTTTAAAAATTTCAATATTTTTTGAGCTTGTAGAAAGTTTTGAAAATATGTTATTTTCTGGTAAACTTCGTGTCCCATTATGATAATATTTATTTCTTCTATTCACGCTTTTGGTTCCTTTACTCCAAAAACGTGCTGGATTTAAAGCTAAACCCTTTATGCAATAACGATCACTGTGATTGTTGACATTGTTGCAGCTCTCGTTGCCTATTTTTAATTTGTTAGTTTTTGCGAGTAAAAAATATAAAAATTTATTTTTAATATCGGACAATGATGTTTTTGCATCCGTATTTCCGTTGAAACAAAATCTTTTTTTGATACTGTCTCCTATTTGAGATGAGGACGAAAAGTTTGTTGGATGCGACATAGCCACTAGTGGACTGTCGAAATAGATTGGCGAGTGTTCATTATTTTCACCTGCAATCAAATTTAATGTCACAATTTTTATTTATATAATTAAAAAAATTCATTCAAAGGTAAGAGTGCTAAATGAAATGGAACTAACGATCAACTAACAGTTTAATGCTTCAACATCCTCGCCGCTAACAACGTGGCAATCATTTTTGGAGAAGATTTCATTCGAAAATTGCAGTCTGTTTGATTTTTTTACATCGTTTATTCGATTTTCAACATCTTTTATTGGGAAATTTTCTAGTGTTTCACATCCGTTTAAACTGTAAATTTTTTTTAATCTTGTCTTTCTCTTTCTTCTGATAATTTTAAATATTCGCTGAAGTTTCGGATGTAATTTGAAAAATTTCTTAATTTTAAAGGAAGACTTGTCTTCTGGCTGACTATTTACATAATTTAACTTTAATTCTGACTCACATGTAGTAGTAGATTTTTCAAAAATGATCCCAGACTTGAGCTGAATCATTGAGTGACTGAATTTAATCTAGCTAGTCATCAATGAGACTCACATTTGAGTTCGTATTCAGGATTTGAACATTCGTTGGGAATCAACAAAAAAGTTTGTTACACTGGCCAGCGGTTGGTTTGAAGATTTGTTTGTGGTTCAGTCAAATTTTTTTTCAAAATATTTCATCCCCTCGTGTTGGTTTTCAAACTTTTTAAATGATAAAAAAATCTTTGTTGTTTGTGTGAGATAGTGTTTTAATGTTTCAAAAAAATTTATGTTGTGTATGTGAAATGGCGTTTTAAAACATGGACTCACGCAGTGTTAATTTTGTAATTTGTGACTGAATAAATAAAGAAAAAATTTTTATTTAAATAAAATCAACATACCAACACATTTGGCACCCGGTTATTAGGACTTTTACTATAGTTCAAACTCTCACTCTTCTTCGAATGATGACAGCTAGAAAACAAAACCATGCATGTACTAATCTTTTGAAACAGATCTTCATATTTGTTTGCATGGTGTGTGTGTGTATGACAGCATAACAAGATGATTTTAACTTTATTGAATTATACTAATGGGTAGAATGAGACTAATCGATTAACAGGGCAAACGTAACAAAGTTGATCAATCCTACAGCAATATGGCACTGAATTAATTATATGGCCAGTGATCACACGACAACTCAATGAATCCTAAATTCGCTATTTATGTATAAAAAAAATATCAATAGTTATAACACAACTTACATGAACTTGAATGCTGTAAATAAAACAATTTGTAGGCGACTGTGGTCTCGACGACAACAGTCTATATACATTAACTGATATTTTAATTTATTTAATTATCTTATTAATTAATTATCTTTTAATGAAAAAATTAATCTCTATAGAGTGTGATTTTTGAAAAATAAAATTCAAATACATCCAATCTTAACGTTGTTCAATTTGATAGAATATTTAGTCTTGGTTTTCGAAACTTATGATGATGTTATTTATCAAACGCTAGATATCCCATAAAGTTTCTAATATTATTGTGGCATTGTTTGTTTACTACCAAACCCATTACGTCAAATGTATATATCTTTGTTCTACATTTGCATATTTTACTCTATTTAATACTTTCCATTTTTAATTGGAAAGAAATTAATGAGAAAAAGTTTGTCAATCCAACGCAGATTTAGTTGAATTAACTTTATTAATAAGTTATATCAAAACTTTCGATGTTATTATTATGGATTGTAACGATAAAAATGAAAACGTCGTCTTAAATTAGTAAAAATTAATAATGGATTCAAATTTTTGAGTTTCGTTCAGTTTTGTAAGGAGGAAATTCGTTTTAATCATCTATCCGCCTTTCCAGCATCTGCCTGTATTCCAGAATGTTCCTCAGGTCTGGACACATGGGCTGCTCACATATCACATTGTTTGGGTATCTGCAATTGTTAACGATTAACATTTTTTAAAATTTAATAATTTTTATAACAAAATATAATTGTTTAAACATTAAGAAAAACAGAAGTTGTATGTGTCGACATCACAAAAAGAATCAGATTGTTCTACTATTATTAAACATTTTTGTGAGCGTACCCACCTGGTAACTACATGAACCTCCTCAGGGGGAGGGTAAGGGATAACCGGAAGTTGAACGGGCCTCGTTCGGTCAATGTTTCCGAAAGTGTGAGAGGTCAAGTACTGCGGCGTGCCCCCAATAAAGCCGTGGGTGACATTCGGTTGAATGTGGCTGGCCGGCTTCACGACCATCTTGCCATCGTTGAACCAGGGGGCCGAAACGAGAAAATATAAATGACCGTTCTGCGGATTCGGTGTGCAGCGTACGTCTTCGCACATCGGTGTGATTGGCAGAGTTAACTGAAATTTTAACGTTGTTCTATTTTGTTCGTTGCTTTCTTAAAATGTGAAGGATAAAATTTTTAATTATAAATATTGAAAAGAGTGAAAAAATTCACGAAAATGTTTGTAAAAAATTTCGAAGTGTAATAATTAAATGTTAAATTAAGCCAACAGATGGAGCTCACCTGTTGGCTGAAATTTTGTACAAGGAGTAATCATCTGTGAGTAGTTGGGAGAGTTGACCTGATTTCATTAATATCGCTTATTGTTCAAATATTGGATGAAAAAATTTCTATTTAAATTTGTCTGATTTAAGACTACAAAACATGCTACAGTCAAAAAAATCTTCTTTGATCCCGATTTCGCTTAAAAATTCTCTTTCTTTTCTTCACTTTGACCCATCGCGTCTTAATGACATTTTGTGAGTCTATTATGTCGTTGGGTTCCTTTGTGGCAACTTCATCGGCGATTTCTTTTTTATTAAGGTTCTGCAGACAGGTGAGGCATGTTTGCTGTTCCTTAGCATGAAAGGTCCTTCCATTGCACTGAATGAACCGCAGCGAACGCACAATCGGCTCGACGATGGCTTTCGCAAAAACATCTTTGTTAAGTAGATGTGAGAAGTTGAGATCTCCCCCTCTTGATTGGTCGTTTTCATTCAAACTCCCAGGATTTCTACGGATAGGATTACCCTCTAACATTCTCTGGAAAATTAATTTGGCAACGCTGTTACCCAGATCATGACCTCTACATCCCATTTTTCGCATCCATTAACAAAAATTTTGATTTTTCGTGAATTTTTTCATTTTATTATTTGAAATTATTTTTTTTTATTGAAGCATCAATTAGTAACCTCGCTATGCTGCGAATAGGTCATGTTCGAAAGTTCAGCTGTCAATTTATCGTTGTGTATGTTGTATGTATATGTCGGCCTCGACAGGTTTCTGTTGATTTTTCGCTTTTTGTCTCTTTTCACAATCTCAACTCACAATATTGTTTTTTAAAATCAATAAATAATTTCCACTTTTTATAACTTAAAATTGTATCAAACTGAAACGAAATTAAAATTTTCGATAATAATTTTTCTGGCTTATAAAAATAATTCGTATTCGTTTCCGATCTTATTTTTGATAACTTTTTCTTCCGTTTGTCTTGCTGTTTTTCGATTATTTTTTTGAGCCGATGAAATGATGACGTAAGCAAAGAAAATTAATTTCATCTTGAATTATATTGCTCGCTACAATAAATACGATTTAACAAGAATTGTTTTCTAACAAAACGCAAAAACTATATAAATTAATATTTGAAAAAAAACCTGTTGAAGTGTGCAATAGAATAATGTCATGATCTGATTTCAGATTTCGTTCACTTTTCTAAATTATGCTAATTCTGGACTTATACTTCTTTTCATTTGGAAAACTAAAATTTCATAAAAATAAATAAAAATTATAAAAAATAACGATTCTCTCTAAACATATGCATAGGCAGCAACGGTTTGTAGACAGTTTTATTGTGCAACCATTCTTCTAAACAGTCGATGGTAAGAGTTTGGTAGTCGATGTAAAACTTGTTTGCAAAGAGGTGGTTGCGGTAGACCAGAGATTGGAGGTCACCGATGCCAAAAATGCAATATGATCTGACAATCTTTCCACTACAGGTGCTTGGAGGCGCCCAGCTAACAAACGTTGACAACCATGGAACTCTCTCAGAAGCTCTGTTGTATCCACCTGATGTTTCAGCATGGTTTTTATTAATCTTATTGATAATTTCATTGAAATTAATTAAAAAAATTAAGAAAGAAGAATTGCAATTTTGTACTAATATCATTTGTTTCAATAATAATGATGGTTTGATTGGTTTATTACGATTCAATTTGAAAAATATATAAATATGACTACGTAAAATTTACATATAAAATTGTATTTTGTTTAATTTCGTTTTCGATAACAACACAATGAATTACTTTATAACCTGGCGCGTTGAAAATTGGGTTGGTCAGGCGGTTGTTTATGGTTGCCCAAAAAAATTCGTCGGGACTGTAGACATCTTGCAACCATTTCAAAAAGACTCGAACTCTGCTGTTCATGAAGACGAAACGAACAAATTCCTTCTTGAAACTGCCAAATACACTTCCTTTTTGAAGTCTAATATGGAATGGTGGTTTTTCTTTAAGTTCTTTTGTTTGTTCTATATTGTTGTTTATAATTTTGTAGACGTATTTGAAACGATCATTAAAATTGAGCGAATAGCCCCACGAAAAAGATTCGATGTCATTGCTGCCCTTCAAGCTTTCAAGTATTCGAACGATTTCCAGGTTAGTTTTCAGTGGGAACATCTGTCCGGTAAGATTGATGACGTACTTCCACCTCACTTTGAAGTCCAACAGTTCGGACATGCAGATCAGGTCGGCCTGCAACCTCGCGAAACTTGCGTAGATGACATTCACACGTTCCTTCGATAAAAAGACGTTATCGAAGCACTCCGTTATCATCTTCACCGTCTCGTAAACTTCACTCGATGCCTTCAAATCAACGTGGATGCAGTAGGCGTTGTGCCTTCTGTAAATATTTCGTAAGAGTCTCTCTAGTTGAGCTGGGTTTTTGTGGAAAACAATGCTGTAAGCTATCGGGAAGTCTGTCTCCACATTTGTAACATCGTAATAATTGTAACCGAACCGACCTTTGAATTGGTCGCAATCTGCGGCAATCGTTTGCAACTGAGAGTTGTCATTAACGACTTCCTCGTCCGATGCGTTCGTGTTTGTTATCTGCAGTGCACTTCTTATTTCCTCCTCTTCACCTTCCATGAGAGCGAAACAATTAACGGATCGAACACGTTTCAGGGGAGTTTTCACGTTGCTGTTCTCATTCGCCCGACAGATATCTTTAGGACAAATTTTGGAACATGATGAGGAAAGTGAATCCCTCCCGCCCATGCTGTCAGTGAACCGACGAATGAAAGTTATAAAGACGGTTGTTGCAATAGATGCCAGTATAATCGAGATAATTGCGCGTCTAAGGTTCATGTCTTATTACACAGAAAGGGTTTTTGCACAAAACGTTTAACGCCAGTACATTTAAAGTCAAAAAACTAGTTTAAATCTCCGGACATTAAAATATGTGGAATGAAAGTGTGGACGATGGAAACGTGATACAAACTTTTGAAAATTTCCAAAAAACAAATTTCCCGATATCCTGCTGGGAGGGAGAATGTTTGAAGATTTCAATTTTATTTATTACACGTTTGCACAAGCAAAAAAATGATTATCCACGTTGATATCAATCTTTTGAACTGGTCCAACTTTCCAATCAACAATTCACGGTATAACTTCCAATTAAATAGGACAACTTAGGTTTCACTATATATACATTATACATATATATATATATATTGTATTTTATACATATATATATTTATGCTATGTTCGATGTTATGATTTATACTATTATGTTTGATTTTTTTTCTTTACCGACCATTTTATTAGATTTTTATTCTTATATGGGCCATGTTTAATGTTTTGGTGATTTAACGCTCGAGGGCGCTTTTGAATTTTATTACCTAGCGCTAGATAAATTTTTGATAATTACATTAATAAACTGTATATATATATATATATAAATAAATATATATATATATATTTATTTATTTATATATATTACTACTTTCGCCGACCACAGCTTAAACGCAGTTCCACTTCAGAAATGAAAAAAAAACTAAAAAAACTTTCTATCAAAAGTTTCCTTCGAAATCCAGAGAAGCACAATCATATGTAACAACAGCAACAACAACACAACAACGTTGTTACCGAACATTGCTTATATGCGCTTAATAAAATTTAAAACCAAGGTCTATCTAAAATAACTAGGATAAAACCAAATATATATATATATATATATATATTATTGTATGAATTTTGTTATTGTAAATATACATATATACGTACATACACGTATATATATATATATATATATATATATATATATATATATATATTGATTTGTATAGGAAGCTATCTAAAACATCTCACCTATGTAAACATGAGCTTAGTTTAGAAAGCTGAACAATGATGTGAAAATGTGAATTTACTAATAAATACATAAATACACACACACACACGCACACACACACACACACATATATATATATATATATATATATATATATAGGTACAATATCTACAACCAATCGTTATATATATATATATATATATATATATATATATATATACACATACATACACAAATATACTGATGCTCATAAACATGCACAAATAATAAATATAATTAATATACGGTCATTATATAAAAATAATTAATAAGTTCGTTGTATTATACACCAATTACACAAACACATATCACACACACGTACATATGTACAAATACACACACCCATATTTAAACACACACACACACACAAATGTATATAAATGCATGTTTGTATGTGTTTATGAAAACGTGAGCAAGTAGATTTTCTTTACATTTTACATAACTGTTTGTCACTTCGAGATATATTGCAATTATCTAATTTATTTTAATCATTACGTTAATTAATTATGTTAATTAATCGCAATTGATTGACAAGGAAATTACGACGAAATAGGGCGGAACGCTATATCGGGGACATTCGCACTAATGGGTTGTCATTCATTATATCGATCATCGTTTGTTTTGAGTTTGCTAGCTCACATCATTAAAAAAAACCGATAAATAAATGAATAAATGAATAAATGAATGAACGAATGAATGAATGAATAGTTGAAAGAAAAAATAAACGGCGATCGATTGGGTAAATAAAAAAAATGAATGAAATAGTGAGTGAATGAACAAAGCAGAATCAAATACTGAAACGTCTAGCGAAGCGAGATCACGCACGAAAAATCAATCAATCAATGAAAATATAATCAAAGATATATATTTGCTTAGTAGGTCTGCGTCAGCAAAAAAAAAACCTCACTCCAAACAAAAAGCTAAAATGAAATAGATGAAAAAATGTAAAATACAAGGTAAAATATTATATGGAAATACTAAAAACTGAGTATGTGTTTGTTTGTGTGTGTTTGTTTGTGTGCAATCTAAAAACTGAATCATGCTAGGAAATAAATGAATAAAATGAATTAAAACGATCAATTTTTTGTAGAGTCCTAGAAGTAGAACGATCAGTTAGTTGAGTGCAACTGCGGACATGACGGATTTTATTTTGCCAACCAGTACCTGGGAAAGAGATAGGATGGAAAAGTTCGAAAGTTTAAAAAACCATCTTATTATATATTAATTTATATTATATTAATTAATAATAAAATGACATAAACTACATATTTACTGAATGATAATAATAATTATTATTATTATTAATTATACTTAATAATATTTGTTTCTAAATTTCAATCAATTCTGAGAGACAAAATTATAATAATAATAATAAATATTATTATAATATAGCAATATATGAAGTGCTATACGCAAAGCTGAGATATACATACATAAAATTTGACGTCAAAAAATTACCCTATAGTTAAACAATTAATTCTCTACTACTTGCGAAGAATTACCACATCATTAAATTGAATGACTGCTGCTGGGTTTGTGTGTTTGTATGCGTGCGTTTGTGGGCATGTGTGTGTGTGTGTGCGTGCGTGTGTGCTGATCAATTCAGCCGTTTCAATGCTTTCGCCGATTGATGAACGCTTCAGCGATTCTTTATTGTTTGATATTTAACTCGAAAAATTGAAAGAGAGAGAGAGAGAGAGAGAGAGAGAGAGAGAGAGAGAATGAAGAAAAAAGAAATTCAGAAAGAAAGAGAGAGTAAGGGTAGAGAAAGTTAGTCAAAGAAGACGAACCAGAGCATAAGATTTTAGAATGAAACAAAAAAAGAGACAAGAAGATAAAGATACAAAGATAGAAATAAAGAAAGAGAGGCAGAAAGAGAGAAAGAAACAGAGAGAGAGAGAGAGAGAGAGAGAGAGAGAGAGAGAGAGAGAGAGAGAGAGAGAGAGAGAAAGCAGTAATTGCAGCACCAAGCATAACAATAGGAAACAAAGGCAGGATAGGATGACACATTTGCGAGATCGTGCAACAAGTCTTGTTAATTAATTCTGTCAATTATGTCCACCATGTTGAATAAATAATAAAAACAAATAACTGAATAATAATATAATATAATTAAGGGTATAATAATTATAATAATTTATGTTAAATTATGAAATTAAGATGACCTCAGCGTATTTGCGATCCTTCTCGTAGACGTTCACATTCTTTCCGATACTACCGCTACCTATCAACTTTTTCTCTCTTTCCTAAAATGGATGGATGAATAAATGAATGAATGAACGAACGAATGAACAAACGAATGAATGAATGAATGAACGAAGGAAAGAATGAATGAATGAATGAATGAAAGTATAATAAATAAGTAGATGACAGACGAGCGATAGTAATAAACGAGACTATTAAAATCCATTAAAAGATCGAACTAACGAATGAATAAAGGTATATATAAATATCTAAATGAATAAATAAATAAATGAATGAATAAATGAATGAATAAATGAATGAATGAATGATTGATTGAATGAATGAAAGAACGACCTTCAGGATAATTTGAATGCCTCTAACGGTCAGCGATGGCGCTTCCTTCAATTGAATCCATCCATAAAACCATTCAACGTTCCAGTGTCCCAGTATATCCGACTTCATGACGAATAACACGTTCCTGGTTTGGAATGGATAGTCTCACTTGGTATAGTTAAGTCGGTAGACGACGATACGATTTAGGTCTGATAAATGCTAGGATAAGACTTACTTGGTATGATACGTTGAAAAATGTTGCGTCCATTTACACGCAGTTTAGTTCAGTCAATCCATTCATTCCTTCATTTATTCATTCATTCATAATTCAGTTTAATAAAAAAAATGTAACATATACACAAGAAAGATTACAATTTACGGTTTGAGCACTTTTAATACTATTTACTATAAGTAATTGTTTATTGAGTTTAGTTTATTAACGAGTGTGTATGTGTTATGTGTGTGTATGTGTTTGTGAGTGTGTGTGGTGTGTGTGTGTGTGTTTAATCACTAAGATGACAAAAATATCTCTTTCCTTCAATTCTAAGTCGAAATAAATTCGCCGCAAAAATTAATTGGGAGAGAGAGAGAGAGTAAACAAAACAAATATGTCTTTAACTAGGAAGCATTGTAACTATAATACTAGAAGCACTAACTTATCAGTAACAAGGAAGACGTTTCTTTTATCGTCTGAGACCACAAGGTGACCAACGTATTTGTCGTTTGTGAACTGGTTCTTGGCAATATCCTGTGATTAAGTCATCGTCATAATCATCGTCGTCATCTAAAAATCGTCACCATTACCATCAATAACATTCCAACAGTTACACCACATCACAAAAACGCCATCACAAAAACACCACCACCGCCACAACCCAGCAGACCCTGAGTATTTGATTCCCCTCAGCTTCGTGGCCCACATAGGGCCTCACCACCCCATCGTTTTGAATAAGTCTGGGGGCTCTCAACTTTGGAACGTCTTCGGTTTGTTCGGCCACCCTAGAAACAGTTGAAAACAATAATTCTTATTAGCAATTGATTACTGAAAATTAAAAAAATCCCAAAACTCGTAAAATTTGATTTAATTTGGTTCCATCATATTTTGAAATGTTTTGTACCTTCTTATACTGTCGAATGAACTAGAAGCAAAATCCACAACACCACTAGCTGGTCTGGTGAACGCTCCAACCAGGCCCTTGCCCATACCTGCGTGAATAAATTATGATAATTGGTCGAACAATAAGTGATACATGTTAGATGATGAACATTTACAAAGAGAGGACATAAATTGGTAACACGGTCACACATCTATCGTGTTGCAAGAAGAACGTGTTTGAGTATAAAAAGTTGAAAAAAGGAAAATATCGAAAGTGCGAATGAGTAGAAACTGTGAAAGAGAGGAAGAAATGAGGCACCTTTGAAGAAACCACCGACGCCCTCCTGTTTAGCACCTTCCACAGGCTTCATGACGATACCCGTCACTCCATCGAACACCCCCTAACGTAGTACAAAGTAAACTTACCATATTGAAATAACATTCTGAAATAAGATTTTTAAAATATAAAATAAAGCAACAAAGATTTCAAAAATGTAACTAGTTGTGAGCTAAACAACCGTTGATCGAACAAAGAAACAGCAACGAACCATGACCAATCCTTTTCCACCTCTGGCAAACCCCTCCTTCAAATCAGCAGGCTTCTTGTTCATGTCCTCCCTCCTCTTCTTCTGGTACTCATTATCCATGGTCAGTGTGGCGATCCCCTTCCCGAGGGCCCCTGTGATACGAGATACCGCCCCTGCGGCACCACCTGTTGGGGGGGTGTTTGCTAATAATGCCATCATAGAAATATCGAAATTGGAGTAAAATTGTTTGGTATATTGAATAATATCTCTAAATTTCATTCAATATAGAAATTGTGAAGTTTAATGACAATTAAAAAAGCAAAAACCGACCAACGGCATGACCGAGAAGACTTCTAACTCCCAAAGCCAATCCTTCAGCGAATTCCTCGGGCCCTTGGATGGCCCCTTGGTAAGGTTCGTAGAAGAGGGTTTCTATGCCTTCCGCCAATCCACGAACGATCCCGAACGGATTGCCCAGGACGTCGAGACCGAGAACAAGAACATACATCTGCTTGATGGCCTGCAGTTCATCGGGGAGTGTTGGAAATGTTTGTGTTGACAGGACCTCGCAGCGTATTACAGGTTGCAGAAGGATGTGTGTGTGTGTTTGTGTGTGTGTTTGTGTGTGTGTGTGTTGTTAGGTACAGATCATTGTCGTTGTAGTTAGGACATTAACTTCAACAACTATTAAATAAAATCATAGCAAAACTTTTTTACAAACGCAAAAAACTTCACACCAAACAAACTAACAGAAACAATAAATGCATTTATTCTTTATTCGTAAGTTACTACGACAGAGAAAAAAAAAAAAAAAGAGAGAGAGAGAGAGAGAGAGAGAGAGAGATAGTTTGTTCACAGAAACCTGCTGAGAATAGTGTCTCGTTATTTCGTTCATCAGTTGAGACTGGCTGTAGAATGTGAACTGCCTCTCAAAATAACCAAGCCTGCGTTCGTTTAAATTATGTACTGTGTGTGGTCTTACGTGGGGTAGCTTTTATTCCTATATCAAGGTCTTTTCATGATTTCGCGTAAGTATATGTAGCAGTAGATAAAATGCTATTGAATTAAAGTTGTACTAGTATGCTACTAGTATAAAGATTGTTCAGAGGTGATTACAAAAAGAGCGACTGAAAATAAATTTTAAAAAAGCAGTCTGCTCTGTACAACAAGATGGAAAATGATAGGGAAAGTTAAGGAAGCACGAGTAAGTATTTATGAGCGTAACAAAAAGAAGGAATTGAAAGCCAACTTGAAAACAACATCCTGAATGTCAGTCAGGACGACTCCGACACTTTGAAGGAACAACTCTAAAAACTTCCATTGAATTTGCTGTGGCTGCTGCTGCTTCTTACGACTTCCGTTTCCGCCGGCAGCCATCTTACTGTCTTCATCCTCCTTGTCGTCGTCAACGCCGTATAAGGAGAAGCTCAGATGAATCTGTAGTAAGTGCACGGATAGTGTTTGCATATAAGAACGTATACATTTACACATATACACATATACGCCCTACATCTCCTTTGTATACGTATGTAAAAATATGCATGCATTTAAGTACTGTTAAAAGGCGCTATGTATATATATATATATATATATATGCAAGAACTGCAATGAGAAGCATATGAAAACCTTGAGAGGTGAAAAGTGTAGCATGTCGTAAAAATTTTTGGCATCGCCAGTGCCGGCGGTGATAACTTCATCGACGAGTGTGTGATCCACGACCTTGCACTCTCTCTTGAACGCCAGCAGTTCCTGTTTGCTGACGGATGCGTCGTCCAGCTGGGCACTGGTAAAGAGGAGGATGATTGCGTTCAGGAATCCCTGGTCCACCTTCACTGACATCTCTTGGATCAGAAGTTTGCAGTATCTGTTGAATTCAATTTGATTTAACTGTTCCATATAGACTAATTATTCGACCGTTTTAGACCATCTTATCAATCGCAGAACTTATCAATCACCACACCTTATCTCATTTACTAATTTCATCAATCACAAAAAACAGATGGATCGAAAAATTGATGATAAGTACAGACTTGAATTGTTTAACATTGCTGTGTGCACTCGTTCTTACGATCGTACTCAACTCAAGAAAAGGCTTAGGGACTGTGGGTGGGTGGGTATAAAAAAAATCTGATCACGATGATGATGAATGACAACAATGACAACAACAACGACAACAACAACAATAATTAACAATAATAATAATTAATAATAATAATAAAGATGATGATAACGATGAGAAAAAATGACATCACCCCATCTCCAACCACATCGTCATCATCCTCATCACCATCATCAAAGTCATCATCATCATCATTATCATCCCAACTGACCACTCTCAGAGGCCACGGATTTCGGCGGCGGCACGGGGGCAAGCACGGTGGAAAAAATGGCGCCCGGAAGTTGGTTGTCCAGCTGTGTCACGCGTATAATGTTTTTTTTATAATAATAAATTAATATTCATGAATAACAATGATAACAATATCAGTGACAACAATGGCATTAATAATCACATCAATAACACAATAATGACTATACTACCACTTAAATTACTGATTATGCTGCCACTACTGCTGCTACTAATACGACCGCAGCAGCTTCTAGTGCTACTACTACCACTAAAAATCATTATAATCGCAAATATTAACATTATAATTGTTGTAACTGTTTCTAATCTTTATTATATCGTATATCGTTATTATTTACATTGTTAGAGCGATGCAAACCTGCATTTTGTGAACTTTGAGATGCAGTTTGATGGAATGCTTGGACGTACTATACTTCAACCTAACGCCGTACTCGAAACTCCTTCTGATCTCTACCTTGTGAGGTTTCAGCATGAACATCTTGCTGTCGTCTGTAAAGTCGGCCTGGTTTGGTTTTGTGGTGGCGTTGTGATTGGTTGACTGGTTGGTTGACTGGTTGGTTGGCTGTGATTGGTTGGCTGGTTGGTTGGCTGTGATTGGTTGGTTGGTTTTATGAATGATTGAAGGATTGATTGATCGATGAAATAGATAAATGATTCAATCAGTTCGTTAAACATCAATAGACCAATTAATAATCAATTAAGTAACTTACCCCTCTGATAAATGAAAAAATATCTATATACAAACAACCATTCAGAAAAATTCACCTCATATTTTTCCGAAAAAACTTTTTTTCCATTAGCATGCTTGTTCACCATCAACTCCATCTTGTAGTTCTGATAGGCAGTCTCCAGGGCAGTGCTGTGCTTCAGTTTCAAGGCTTTGAATCTCTTTCCTTTCGCTTGCTCCCAAATCACCCCAGAACTTATGAGGAATGGGAAAGATGATGATTGGGGATGGTAATCGACCTACCAACCAGCCAAACAACCGACCGACCAACCAACCAATCAATCAACGAATCAACCAACCAACCAATCAAACAATCAACCAACCACAGACCTGGTTATCCCCATGTATGCAATTTCCTTTCCAATGTGATTGTTAACGAAGGACAATCCAAAGCCATGCAGACTCAACGTTATCTCTTGGTCCAATTGTTCCAACTCGCCAGCCTTTGGAAAAAGTGATAACGAAGTCAATGACGTAATAATGACACAAGGATGATGACTTATCAACCACATGATAAGATCAACCACCAAAACGATGAAGACGATAGTTATGATGATGAAGAAAATAGAAATTCACTAACAGAGATGGTATTAATAGAAAGGACATCACCAAAATCATTGTCTCTAGATATCATCATCACCACCACCGTCATCATCACCATCACCATCATCATCAGTTTCACCTAACCTGTTGAGCAAACGTAGCGATGATGAGGTCATCCGTGAACAGCAGGACACGCTGCATGCCATCCAGGAAGGACACCCAGAACAATTTCCGGTCATTCGAAATCACCACTTCTCCTATGCCGTCCTGGTGACGTCATCGTCGTTGTCATCATCATTATCCGCGTTATCATTCTCATCGTTATCGTCACCATCATCATCAACGTGATCATCATCGTATTATCATAAATGTCATGAAGCCAATCATTTAGCCAATCAATCAACCAATTGGCCAACCGACCAATGGACCGACCAACCAAACAAAACAAAAACATACAGCCAACCGACCTTGCTTAGGTCATTAGCAACACTTTTACCAGTCTCCGAGAATGACCACAACAATTCACGCTTGCTTACAGGGTCATCCCAGGTGTACAACACGGACTGCTGGGCAGCAAGGATCAAGTGCGAGTCCATTGAGTCCCTGGTTTAGTTAGTGTACGTTACATTTCAGAAGGAACATCATAAATATCAGCAGCAGCAGCAGCAAGAAAAAGAACACGTTAAATGACAGCATCACTAACTTCTGCCAGTAATAAACGTTGGCATCTTTGGTGTGATTGACGATGAGTGCCGACGCAGATCCTGAGAAATATTGTTGGAAGGTGACCACGGTGCTCGATTCCGACCTCTGACAGACCGCATTTATACCACCGTACTGAATTATATTAGAGTTTATATCGAGTCGTTGGTATTTAAAAAATTCACTTATGAAGACACTTTTCAAACTGAATTAAATAAATGATTTAAAATCAAGCCACCAAATGAAAATGCGGTGAACATAAAACTGACGTCGTGGTAAAGTTTCAACAGGGTAGTGTGATCGTCAGAAATTGAAAATGGACGGGTCTCTAGGGCAGAGTTTTTGATGCAAGCGACCAATAGCTTTTGAGCAGATGTTTGAACTGGCCAATAAGGAAGAACCTCGTTCGGCTGAATTTCCACCCATTGGCTGGTGGGGATGTGTTCTTTGAACAGGATAGTAAACTGTTAAGAAGATATAAACATTTTGTAAACAGAGAATATCGTCACAATCGTTGCTCTTATCTTAGTTATGACGTCATGATATGAAACAACTCCACCATTCTTATCACCCTTATCATTATTATTTGTATTACATCATCACCATCACCATCCTCTTCCTCATCGTCGTCTTCATCATCCTCATCACCATTATTGAACTAACGTTGGAGTTATTGGCGAACATGTAGTGAGGTGTGAATGTGATGATCTTTGTGAGGCCATTGCTAGCCAGTGTTATTTTCACTCCGACCTGCGTGTGCGGCGTTTTTATACCAAATCAAAAAAAAAAAAACTTCACACTGCATGTAGCGAGGACCAATGTTATTTAGATTGATTGGCTCAAAAATATGATCGTAAACTCAAAGATTGAAAATTAAAAAGTATGGGAATTCAATAAAGTATTAACAAACGAAAAAAATATCTTACAATAGATTTCGTGCTCTCTTTAACTTTCTGCAAGAAAATAAAATTTGGATAAAATAAAATAATGTTAATAATATCAATAATAATGTTTAAAATCCCAAGATCGAATAAAACAACCATAAGTCGAATATAATCATTTTTTTTTCAAGATATACAAGAAGGTTATAAATTTATGAAAATTCACGAGAAATTCTAACAAATAAGTTTAAGGATATGAAAAGAAAACTAAACTAGTGTCGAAGTTTTTAATATTTAAAAATGTTCATTTGGCACAGGGGTGGGAAAACAACGACCCGCGATGCTATTTCATGCGGCCCATGAGGCCCTGTTCGCCAATAAAAAATCGTCAGCCAGACATTATGACCAAAAAAAGAGTCACAAATCTTAAAAAAATTCTTTCCCGGGTAGAAAAATTTGCTATTTAAGTACATATGCGGCCCTTCATAGGTAAAATAGTTCTCAATGCGGCCCTCACAGCAAAGAGTTTGCCAACCCTTGATTTAGTTGATAAATAAATAAATAAACAAACTAACTAATTAATTAAGTACTAAATATTACAGTAGAAATAGCAATAATACAAGTTTTGAGCCACTAAATACACTACTTTATAATTAAATATTTAAGTTTAGCAGTGAAAATGATTATACAAAACTAGGCATGATGTATATAGATAACCCCATCGTGAGAAATGTCAAGAATGACTTAATAACTTTATTACCTTATAACCGACCAACCAACTAACCATCGTTGAAGATTGAAATAAGCATAACTTCGATTTACGCGATTTCGTTTTAACGGGGTTTGACTGAAATTTCACACGACGGTGGTGGGATGAAATTATGACGACGACGAATATGATGATGACGATGAAGAAATGATGAGGATGACGATGAAGAAATGATGAGGATGTCGTCAGAAAAGATAAGAAAAGCAATGGAACAAAAAAATTTTACTTACTGCAGCGTTAGATTTGGTGACGCATTCAACAGTCCCCACGCTACCAGCAGTATCCAATGAAAACTTCTCCGACCAATCAGATTCGCCTATTTTTAGGGCGACCTAGATACATAAAATTAATTAAATAACCAATCAATCAATCGTCTAATTAATTTAAATTATAATATGACTATCATTTAATGGTTTATACGTTTACATAAAAATTGTAACAAAAATTTTTGAATTAAAAAAAATTAATATAACAGAATTGATATAACATTCTGTTAATATAATTAATATAACAGAACGTAGGAACTGAAAATAAATCTTGAAAATAAAATAAATTAACCACTACTGAGTATAGATTTTATTAGCAGATACTGTAATTATAGCCAAAAATAAACATAGCTGTATATACGAGGGGGGTGGGCTAACTAAGGCCCGTGAAGACTTGTTCTTTCGCCAGACATTATGACCAAAAAAAGGAGCCACAAATCTTAAAAAAAGTCTCCACCGGGTCGAAAAATTTGCTATTTAAGTACATATGCGGCCCTTCAAAAGTAAAATAGTTCTCAATGCGGCCCTCACAGCAAATGTTTGCCCACCCCTGCTCTATACTTCTATACCAAACGTGAAAACTAGTTTGTGGTTAGCACGGGAGTTAATTGCGAATCTACTAATCTGCTACACCAAAATTTAACAAAACGAATAAAAAATATTTTTTGGTAACAAAAATTGACACAAAAAATACTAGTCGTCAATCAAAATCAGAACAAATAATACAATCCATCAATCAATCAACTAATCAACCAATCAACCAATCAACCAATCAACCAATCAACCAATCAATCAATCAATCAATCAATCAATCAATCAATCAATCAATCAATCAATCAATCAATCAATCAATCAATCAATCAATCAATCAATCAATCAATCAATCAATCAATCAATCAATCAATCAATCAATCAATCAATCAATCAACCAACCAACCAATTAATCAATCAATAAACCAACCAACCAATTAATCAATCAATCAATCTAAAAAAATAAAATTAGCAAACTAAACTAAATTGACCCAACCATTAGAGAACATTGTGGCATGACGTAACATAGAAAGAAATGAAATTGCAAACCGAAGTAATTGCTAAAATTGACAAAAATATTCAAATAACAACAGATCATTAAAAATAAATTAAAACACCTCAACCATACTCGTATGTTAACTTCAGAATATACTAAATATAATAAAATAATTCAACAATATAAAACCGCCTAAAATAAAATAAATGTCCGTATTATGGATTACAAATGAAAGAGAACAAACTAGAAACCAAATGTATGACATACTAAATGTAACTGAAGAAAGAAAAATAAGCGTACAAATACAAACAAACTAAAACACGCCAAACCTTCTTTATACTATCAACGTATCTTTAGATACTCTATCATATATCTAATTAGACTAATCAATAGATATCGTATCATATAGTATACTGATACATCTACATCAACTAATCCATCTAGATGTACGAATACTAACGTATAGAAACTATTGATAATAATGTTGTATCTATCTACCTTACATTTTCCACTTGCCGATTGCTAACTTACTTTACAATTGACAGCAAGACTGAAGCCAGTGTTATCAACGTAGTTATTCTCGTCATCTTCGTCTACATCTTCGAATGCGGCGAAACTCTTGTCGCATTCGAGGTTTTTGTCGAATTCTTCGCTACTCTTGTCGCATTCACTCTTCAAGTCGATATTCTCGCTCGGATTCGGGGATGGTTTTTTCATAGTTGAAAATCGAAATCGTTTCTTCTGTAGAGTCGTCTGTTGTTTTTCGCGTGATTTTTTTTCGTCTGGTTTCTGTTGATGCTGTCCGAATTCACGGTGTTGCTTTTTAGACCAAAATTTCGAACTGGAATCAAACGAGGAGGAAAAGTTTGCCGGGAGTGTTTTACTTTTTTCAAAATCTTTATTGATACCGATAACTGTTTTACGATCTTTCTTTTTCCTTTTGTTTGGAAGGAATGATTTCCTCAACTTCATCGTAGTGGTCATCAGAAGTGTTTGTTTGTTTGTTGGTTGGGAATCAAAAAATTGCAGTTATAATTGGTGAGAATTTTGGCAAAAAATTAATTCTTAATAATTAATTTGTTAAAAACTTTAAAATCTAATTAACAAACAATGAATAAGTGAATCTTTTCACTCTTTTGTGATCATTATATCTTCTGCAAGAGCGTTTTTAATCACTGATAACAAAAACAACGAATAGCCTTATAATATGAAAATCTAAATCTACCCAGCCAGGAAACATCATATCAAGTGATTCACACCAACAATATCGATTTCATAACTTTCTAACAGTCCAACGACAAAGAAGAGCATAAAGTATAAAATAAATTCAATAATAAATTCAAACTTCAAAATATTATATTGACGTTTTTAATTTTATCAAAGAAAGTTTGTCTGTGTGTGTGTGTGTGTGTCTGTAAACGTGCGTGTACGTACGTGACTGTGTTTGTCTGTAACAGTAACGAGTAAAAAAAATCCTATATAGAAATCGATTCTAAGATAGCATAGCATGATAAGGCAGGCAGGCAGGCAGATCACTAGCAGACAACATATACACGACCATCTATAAAACAAATTCAACGCAACAAAAGAAGACAAAAAGAAAAAATATAAGATTTTGAAAATCTGGAAAAACATTTTGTAATAAAGTAAAATGACTACAATAAAAGACAGAAAATTAACTCAATGACATCAATATGTTAATTCTAGCATCAACAAAAACTTATCATACAAGATGTATGTTCAGTTCATATGTATAGAATCTAATCGTGTTTATATAACGTCTTATGTATTCTTTCAATAATAACTGACAACAATAATGAGAATATCGCAATGAATAATTATCTTAAAACAATAAGGACAACAGCAAAAGCATAAACAAAGGCTGAAATGGCAGCTATAAAAGCAGCAGTAACCACATCAGCAGAAGCTACCACATCAGCAGCAGTAGCAACAACAGATACGGCAGCTACGGCAACAAAAAAATAACAACCTTAGCAGCTGCACTGTTTGATCTCTTGAGTAGCATCAAAACGGCTTCATTGTAACTCGATGGATGCTGTATTATGTAATCATCTGCTGCCTGGTGATGATGATGAAGATGACGACGATGATGACGATGATGAATACTTCATAATTATGAACAGATTTGAACTGTACTAACAACTTCAATTAATAACAATTAAATATAATTCCTTAATAATAATAATTAGTAATTAAAAAAAACACACCTTGTAGGAGAGGTTCTGATTGGTCAGATTGATCAGCCAATAAGGAGAGTATAACGAAAGTTCCAGATGACCATTTGTCAAGTCCATGTGAATGCCCAAGTCCTGGTACGGCAACGACGTCATGATGATGATGCAATTATTATAATGATGATAGAACGACAAAGATAGTGGTAATGCAGATATTATTGAGAAATAAAAACAAAGATAATGAGAGTGATGAGCAAGAATGAAGATGTTTGTGATGATGAAAGATGCCAGAATCAGTCGAAAATAACAAAAAATAACATCAAATAAAAAAATAACAAAAGCAGTAACGACATAAACAGTAACCATGGTGATCCTCTTGCCATCATCAAAAGCCTCAAAGGTCCACACACCAAATTTGGTTGGTTGGTCGGATTTGTTGTTCAGGTAGTTCTCAATAACCTGCTGGGAGCTCCAGTCCTTCTTCTGATAGGTGAACTGCGTTGGTATGAACAATCAAACATTTCATATCACACGTAAAATTATCAACAATTGGCAAGTTAGGTACAAGTTGTCAAGTTCAGGAACGACGTGGTTGTTGCACGGTGGTTTGGTTCGAATGCAGTCAGTCAGCAACTCAGACTGCTAGCTAGAGCACTTTGCACTGCTTATACGTAACTACAAAATGAGAATAATATGTAAACAATTTCGCTAAAAAAGAGAAAATATAGTTATAAGCAGAAAAAACTTATGCAACTCGAGAAATACGTTACAATGAAAGAACTATGTGGCGCTAACAAAGAGCGACAAGGCAGTCGTTCCAGGTTTGATGTACACGAGTGGAACCTGTTGACCGGATTCCACTTTTAAGCCCTCACCTGGACCCTGTAGTTCACAAAATTTCGAAAAATAATTTATTCTGAAGAAGCACCGAAAAGTAATGGAAAACATTGCATCACATTTACTACTTTTAACTAACTCTGTCTTCAAATTTCGCTCATTAAATCATCGATATGTAACGCTGATAACGCGGGGTGATGTAGATATGACGTTGTTATTTATTTCGCAACAATAACATCAACAACAACAACAACAACAACAGCAAAAACAACAACAATAAAAACAACAACAGCAACAACAGACCTCAGTTTTACAAGCAACGATACTAGGAAGTAGATTCTTGAATACGACGGATGGTGACAGAATAACGTTGTACATCTTAACAGTTCTTTCATCTGAGAGCTCATTGTATGTCATGTCATACTCCACTCTTACCTACGCAGTACACACATGGTGTGTATGTATACATATACATACATTTACAAACGTACGTACACGTATACACGCATATATACAGAAACGCGTGTATATAAATATATGAGTTAATTAGTTTCTGCAAAAATCGTAAAAATATTAATTTATAGTATTACTTAACAATTACAATTACTAAAGAAGTAAGAAATAGTAGTAAGCCATTTTAAGAAAAATGACTAGTAGCCAGTGAGATGACTTACAGCCACGTATATGTTGGGTACATCATCTTCTTTGCCGAGACAATCGATTATTTTATCGTGTGATTGGTTGTTCCAATTTATCTCCTCCATTGATTGGTTGTAACTAGGTCACGTAAGTAAATAAGTCACATCGTATGAGTTAATAGGTCTAAAATATCATAGTTACAGGGTTTTATGTACATATTTTTAAACCGCAACTAAAAAATTCAACCAGTGGCGGACCTAGACGACTTCGACGAGGGAGCCAAAATTTTAAAATTTCACCGCCCCTCGTCCCTAGACCCGCCAATAAACGTAACCAACGGGACACCATCGAAACAAAGAACGACAACAGCCAACTTTTCATCGCAGGGCTTGAGGATGATGGCGTAAGGAGCTGTGTAGGTGACCTCGCATGGCAAGTTGATATTCTCACCCGGTTGAACTGACCCACATTTACCTGTATTGTTTTGACCTAATTTGTAGAGGAGACCCATTGCTATTGGTAGTTTGTTTGTCACCTGTAAATTAATTAAGTCAGGATGGCATTTTGTAGTTCAATTATGCGTAGAGAAAATTTGATACAAAAATAAACAACAAAATTGACTTTCAAGACAGATTTCAAGGTGACAGTTCTTCGTCCGTAACTAATTTTAGTGTGGGCGATGACGTAGCAGGGGTCACCGGCCTGTGACCGCTGGTCCAAGGTGAATGCTCTCTTGTCTGCCCTGGTCACGTGCAGTTGGCGGGAAACGTTCAGGTCATTGAACTTTTAATGGATGGATGAGTTGATTGATGGATGGATAAATGGTTGGTTGGATGGATGAATGTTTTTATAGGAAACTGAATGGAGAGATTGATGAATGAATGGATGTATGGATGGATAGACAAATGAATGGATGGAAGGATGAATGGATGGATAAAATAATGAATGGATGAATAAATAAACAGTAAATAGTTGACAAAAAAAATTGTATAGAAAACAGAACCGAAAGAACCAACAAAAATTGTGAACATTTTGTAGTCCTCCTCGTTAACTTTATTGTAAATGTTATTAAACAAAACTTTGTGCTGCTGTTGATGAGGCTGAGAAAGCTGTTGACGATATTGACGTTGTAGTTGCTGCTGCTGCTGCTTCTGCCGCTGTTGTTGCTGGTGGTGGTCATCACCATCAATGGAACTTCCATCACTGTGATGTGTGGTCTCAACGTGTGGCTCAGGTACATCGCCGATGATCTCCTCTCGAAAGTTGACGACATCACCTGGTTTTAATCCACACTCACTTTCCATCAACTTGTCGCCATCCTTGTTGTTGCTGGCGTTTGACGTTGCTGATGGTGATGTCGTCGGTGTTGTCGTTTTACCAGTGATAGGCTGTAGAGGGGAAACAATTGAAGGATTAGCTGCAGCGACTCAACAGTTGCACAGAAAATTATGAAATAAGTTTATAAATAATATATATATTTTCATCTTCATCTATAAAACTAAAAAATTAGTGTCATCTCCTGTATTAGAGTTCATCATCACATCATTACAACATCACAAACACACATAACATCCGAAGTACACAGGCGCCCAGAGTACCAACAAACAAACAAACAAACGAACCAACCAACCAACCAACCAACGAACAAACCAACCAGCAAACCTACCTTGAAAGACTGACCGTATCGCAGTGTCAGGTACATACCCGTCTCGTTTCGAACCGTGTAAGGTACCGTCAACACGTCAGACGTTGTTGGCATGGCGACCAGTGAGTAGGCGTCAGAAAATGACTAAGATGGTGATGGTGGTTGATGATAACGAGGATTATGATGTGAATTCTCGATAGTGAAGGTGATATCTCAAAATGGCGACGATAAATATAATGTGCGTAAATTGTTGACAACGTTCTATCGTAATATTCAAAACCTGACTGAGATCCTTGAGTACATTGAGTAAGGTCTTAGTAACTGTGATCTGCATGACGTCATTGGTCGTTACGGAGATGACCGAGCGTGCTGGCGGGGGTGAGGGTTGACCGCTGTCCACGTCATCGTCGTCCTTGTACACAGCATCGTTTTGTTCCATCTGGATAACATTTCATTCCATTATTAATCAATTCTTGTCTTTTGTGAAATTTTTCAAAATAATAACAATATTAACAACAAATCGATATAACAGTACAAAAAAGGTTGACCCCAAGATGCCACCCCCCACGCACCATGACATTGAGTGACCAGGGTAGGTACTTGTGGCCGTCGTGAACAGGTTCAATTATAGGTTCCCACGAAGCCAGCCTCTCGTTGTAGTAGGCCGCTTGTACATCCACATCACAGAGGAATCGCATCTTTAATGTAATTAACCATTTTCATGTTTAAATACGTTAGTGTATTACGTATATCTACGTAGTACTCTCTAATTAAAGATAGATGATAAATAAGTGAAAATAATTGATTTAGACCAGTCCCATTAACTACCTTGCTTGACCAATCCTTCACCTCTAAATTTTTTATGTTAATTTCAGTGGCTATCAGTGGTTGAAGTAACTTTCCGTAACCTCCTAACAGTATGACGCTGATTCTATTTGACAGGAGCAAGAGCTGATGGAAAGAAAGAAAGTTGAGTAAACGAATGAATGAATGAATGAGTGAATGAATGAGTGAGTGAATGAATGAATGAATGAATGAATGGAATGAATAAATGAACGAATGAATGAATGAATGAACGAACGAACGAATGAATGTATGAACGGATGAACCAACTTGTTCTCCTCTGATGAGATCGACGCAGCTATCGTGAAGATCGGCACGAAAATCCTCCGCTTTTACTGCCGTGTTGTCGACATCAGCTGCAATGTTGCATTTAAAACATTAACGACGACAACAACAACAACAATATTAACAAACAAACACATACAAACAGCAACACAAACAGCAGGACAAACAGCAGGACGAACAACACCTACATGATCTTAGGAACCAATAATCGCAGTTGGCCAACTTTTTAACTGTCCACAGATCTTTCGGTATCTTGTTCAGTTGGTCCTCTACTGTCTCCACCTAATTAAGTCATCATTAAAATAATGACTTTTTGTCATATGTAATTATAATTACGTTTTATGCATCATTAACTAATTGATTCATTCATTCATAAAAAATATACTTAATTTACATCAGACAAATGCCAAATACAATCGTACCAAACAATCTGAAGACTTCATTCAGAATCTGTTGAAAGTTAAACAATAGACTGCAAAACTCTGAAAAAAATGATTTTAAAATTAAAATTTACAGAAAACTTGCAAAGACCTTCGGAGCAGACAAGGGCGACAGAGTGGAGGTGATGATCCTTATTGAAGCCGCCGAAACGTAAAGGTCAATGTCGGTCATGGTCAGAGCTATGTGGGGATTTTTACCGCACGGCGCGGAGCTTTGCATGTTGATTGACACCGGAGCTAGAATCTGATCGGTTATTAGAAGAGTGAACGAATGAATGAATGAATGAACGAATGAATGAATGAACGAATGAATGAATGAATGAATGAATGAATAAATGAATGAATGAATGACATCAACATCAACAATAACATCAACTAACATGTGACTTAGTGTCATGTTGATGAGAGTAGATGCAGGAGACGATGGAGAGGTTGTTGAGGAGGGCCTTCATACTCTGCAGACCGGATGACTGACGCATCGAGAACTCTGCGCTCACCTGAGTTTTTATGATGACGATGATGTAGATAGAGCTAATGATGATGAAATAATTGATAATGACATGAAGTAGATGATATGCTGACAACGACAACGTTGACTTCCGGTGAGACTAGTATGACAGCAGTGAAAATTTTTGGATTTGAAAATTCGATATTCAAATTATCTCCATACTTCCATCAGTAGCGCGTTTGTATCTGGATTCATGGCATCCTCAACTAGAACGACTTTTGATTGGCTCATTTTAAAATGGATAACCATCTCTGATTGGTCGACGCTTGTTTCAGGTACCTGTTGCTGTCTCTCC